TTTAACAACTCCTCCTCTTTACGTACTAAAATGACTAACTCCGTGCCTTAGACTGCGCCAATTAGGTACGTTGAGCATCATAGGCTCATTGTCGAGCGCCACGTCAATGCGCAATTCGCCTCATTAGCGCCAAGAACCCGTTATAGGAGAGGTATTCGATAACAGGAAGGATGCAGAGGTGCGCTTACAGATTTAGGCCCTTATTACAGGGTTTAACGTTGTCTGTAAAGGCGGAGGTTCCTCTACGGTTCCAGGAGGCCTTTATCGCTGTATCCACCACGGTAGGGAGACAAGGAATGATCGTAGGCTCGAGGAGCGCGTCACACGTGATGAAGAGGGCAGGATTACCTCTCAACGTAAGCGTGAGGGCACTAAAGTGCGTCAAACCGACTGCGATTAGCGCGTCAAAGATCTATGCTGTGTTTAGTGTAATGGTTTCTTTACGATAGAAATTAAAGTCGCAGTCTCGCGATATAGTTATCCCCGAAACCGCCGTCCCCTTTCAAGATACTACGACTTGCTTCCGTAAAAGGCCAAAGAATAAGTGGGACATCTCTAGCCAAGTATGTAATGGTTCGGTCTAATACTTCACCCAATAATCGATAACGCTTTTCAGCCTCAGTTTTACGAGGTTGGTTAAGGGAGTTGTAGCTTACAATGCTGAATCTGCTGAAACTTTAAGTAGAGTTGATCGATGTTGAGGTTCGGCTTCAGAAAGCCTACTAGGATGACGAATCGATAAGCAATCCTACGGCGAAGTTGAATTCTATAAATTTCCACACTCTCCATTATGCCGGACAATGTAGCCGCTAGTCCGGTCTCATGATAGAGTGCTAAGAGAAACTGTAGGTTTATTATAGGTAGTGCTCTATTATGCGATATCGAGATATACTAACCGTATAGATACGCGGCTATTACAGGCCAGGAGTGAGCCGTCGGGCGAGAAGGCCACCGCCTTCACCCACTTAGTGTGTCCCTAACAGTAAGCCAGTGACAGAAGCTCACAGGATTAAGAGGAGTCCATCCTCGAGCACTCTTCAATTAAGGCACGTAACTTGAAGCCCTCTTATTTATAGCCATACAAATCGCATTTAAGGCCTCAGGACCACCTAAAAACCTTAAGAATAGGTTAACTAGCTCTTTCTCATCCTAGAGCACTTTGAATGACTCATTTTGAGCGCGTATTAGTGGAGTAAAGTGGGTTGGTTGTTGCTCGACCGCGGCATAGACCGCAGCGGGGGCCTCCTTACTTGCGGGCGCAATTTTAAGTACTTGGACCTCTTTTTTTCGCCTTTTTTTGTGGATTAAGGTAAATGAGGGTCAGTTAATGCCTCCCATACAATTTTTCGCTTGGGAATGCGCCCAGAACGCGTCTATTGAGCCATAATTATTCCTTAAAGGACCTATGTTGACAATTCGCGTTTTTTAGGTGGTACGCGCTAACCTAAAAGAGCACCCACGTATCCGCGCAAGGGATATAGGTATAGTAACTGCTATAATCATATATCCGTCGATCACTTAGAAACTACAAACTATTTACTTCTTGTTTCTAGTAACAGCAGTAGACGATCCAGCTGCGCTTAAAGGGCGGACTCGCGGCTTTTACTGTCATCTCGTTGTTTTACTAATTAGTCTTAAAGGGCGGACTCGCGGCTTTTACTGTCATCTCGTTGTTTTACTAATTAGTCTTGAAGGGCGGACTCCCGTTTATTACTAGCCTCCTTTAGCTCTTCTAATTACCTCTCAAGCCCACCTAACTATTTTCGAAGTTCTCCATTAATACCACTATTCCGGGGCTTCTTGAAAACACTATCTCCGACTTGTAGGTCTTACCCGACGTTATCTATATAGGGGGCCGATTAAAGTAACGCTTCCGCTGGGTCCGGTAGGAGGGTAATTACTTCCTTAATTCGCGTAAGATGCCGCCGAGAGAACTTTAGATATACGTTATAAAAGAAATCGTATAGCTTCTACCGATCTTTACCCCCATCGTTACTTAAGATTACTTAGCTAAGATTTATCCGATACTTCGTCGTACTAACTTTTAGTAGCTATTAGGGGGACTTATTATCTAGCTCCTAAGTATTAATCACTATATAGTAGGTATATATTCTTACTATATTATTATCGTAAGACATCGATAGCCTAAGAGCTTTACTATTAAGTTTTTCTAAGCGGCCCGCTCTCCGGAAGAGATCGATAACGCCCTCGAGAGTAATACTTATACTATAGATATTCTATCGATCGGCGATTTCGAGAGGTTATCTATCGTATTTAGCTTTACGCGTTATAAACGAGAAGAATATATTATTACGGGCTATATACTTAGAGGGTAACCTAATAGTAATGCCTAACTTCCGAAGCTCTTCCCGCGAGAAGTTTTCCTACTTAAAGGCTATCGTGTAATCTAGTTACGGGTATTTCCCGTAAGACGGGAAAATAGCCCGTAGCTAGTTGTTATATCCTTCGATGAGACCGAGACTTTTAAATTTATTATGTCCGCGAAGTGCTAAAAGCTCTAGTGCCGGGAAAAGGTGTGAATGTATATTCTTTACGAGCCATTATTTAGACTTATTATAAGTTAATTCGGAAAATAATAAGAAGACAGCTTTATCGAGCATCGTCTCCGGTGGGTAGGGGACGCTAGTAGAGAGTAGCTTCTAATAAAACGAGAGTTCGTCTTTATTAAGGCCGCCTACGAAGTCGCGTATATAAATTCCATGTTACTCTAGGAGGGTTGGGAAAGCGGGACTACTATAGAAATTAGACCTCGTATCGGTAGAAGTAATACTCTCCGGATCCTTACTATACGACGAAGGAGGCTCGAGTAATTCTTAAGACGACTTACGTTTTACCGACGGTATAATCCCTCCTAATACTAGAGGATCTAGATTAGGATATAGTTCGATCGGTAGCGGCTACGCGTCGTTTTCTTCCGGGCCTTTAGTTCCTAAAACCCATCTACGAATTTACGAATCTTAAGTCTTACTTTCGAGATCTATCCGCGATTCTTCGGAGAAGGGGTTGGTAACGGTACGAACTTCGGTCGGAGGCTCCTAGAATGACGATTAGTTCGAATGAAACTCCTATAGGCGTTTAGTACCTGTCGATGTATTTAGAAAACTATGAGAGCTTACACTAGGGTGCTGATGGCCTTTAGAGGAATTAGTAACTTTAGGTAAGGGGAGCTGTTCCGCGACTACGATTTAACTCGTGTTCGGGCCTATATCGACGGGTAGAAAGGGCGGAGAGCTATTAAGATGTCGTCGTTTCGTAGATGGTTGCGGATGCTCGTGGCGGAATGTTAAGTCTTTAAACTCGTAGCGGCATCGTTTACCTACGGCTACGTATATCGACGACCTAGATTGAGGGCGATGTTAATCGTTCAATAGGTCTATCGATGTCCCTATGGCCAAGTCACCTTTACTCGCCGACATCTATGTTAGTTAAGTCGGGTGCTTGTAAAATAAATAGCTATAAAAGTAGGTAGATGCGTCGGACTAAGGATATTATCTCTAAAATATAAGCTAACCTACGCTGTCCTTAGGTCCGTACGTAATTTAGCGTCCAACCCCGCTACCTAAAGGTACTTAGCGGCTACCTGCTTCAATCTAGCTAAGCCACCCGTTTCTTTGCCGCCACAGCAAATTTAAAATAGATGTCCTTAGCTAGGATACAGTCGCCAACCGGGAGCACCTTCGAACTCGGTTCGTTATGAGATGTCCTATCTTACTCCATTGCATTAGCGCCTAGGTTAGAACAACTAGGGTTTAATCATTCCTATGCTTCACGTCTATTCCTTAACTAGCCCAAATGTAGTTAACATATTATTGCGAGTACGCTATTTTGTACTTCGCATAGTATCGCAAACTAAAAAGAATTTCAGGTGCATTGTTGAACGGAGGCATTAAGGATCCATCTAGTGCTAACTAATTAGAATACATCTAATTCTAGGAATTACGTCTTCTCTACCTACTAAGCGCCCTAGGGTGGCTTAGCGCCTAGCAAAACAGCTAACCAGTAGCCTACTATATCTACTACCTCTAAAATGTAACTAGCGCATTTCACCTCCCAGGAAAGTAAATTAACCTCGTACCGACAGACCTACTAAATCCATCTCAAAAGTACGTCTCGTCAAGAAAATTCGACATCATCTTAATAAATGGAATCCGGACAAAATAGCGTAATACGAATCTCTTTCACTTGCTCTACTAAGTCCTCCAGCCCTAAACGAACACCGTCGTAAGGCTCTACAAGGAACTATGTCGGAGTTGTTATCCCGGAGCCTAGCGTAGGCGCTCTCCGAGTTCGGCCCGCGTCACGGTGACCACACCTCTAGACGGAGTTCAGCGGAATACGCTTATCCCGAGGAAGAAATCGAGTAGGTATCGAATATCTTGAGCATCCTAGACGAAGAGCATCGTTAGTAGACCTATATACCGCGCCTTTATATTGTTCTACGAAGGCTCGGCCTTAGTAACCTCCTCAATAGTTTTCTCTAGGCCGGATTAAGTAACTACTACTTTCCTTTTTCCGAATCGAGGTTAAGACATATTCTATAGTCTCACCATGCGTATGCGTTCCTTCGGGAGTAGAATTACGTTCTGACGAAGTACTTCTAGCTTAAGAGGTTTAAGAAGAACGAGCATATCTATTTCGCAATAGAAGAGGAAATTCCATTCCGTCAAGTTGGTTAGTTAGGCAGCGGTACTTTCTCCGAAGTTTAGAAGGTCGTCAGTACAGCAGACTTTAAGACATATACGAGAAAAATAGTCAAAAGAGCGTCCTTAGAAGAGAAGATCCGCTATAGCTAGTCCGATTTCGAACGCGAACTAAATAACCTAAAGAGGGTAAAGCATTATTACACCGTATAACTTATTAGGAGCTATACGGACCCGCGGTTCGCTACGTTCATTATGTCTCCCGTAGTAGATTACTCCCTAGACTAATTTATAAGCTTCGATACGATAAATAACGAGAAGTTATCGCTAATTTAGGGTTTCTTTAGATGTCTCACGACAGCGCTCTCTTATCTATATAACCAAAATATCCGACATAAGGACATTAAGCCCAAGAATATTCTCGTTAAGAGTAGTAAGGCGCTTTTCATAGACTTTAGACTCTCTTTAGATTACACAGATTTAACACGGAGCACCACTAAAGGGCTAACCGCTCGGATACTACGCTACTACGCCCCTAAAGTAGCAAGCTCCTCTCCTCGAAACAAGTCCTCTAACGTTTAGTCGCTAGGCTGCGTGTTTTTAGAGATAATAACCTTGCTGAAAGAGGAGTTAGTTAAAGATTTAAGAACCTTTCTCGAAGAGAACGGAATAGAGAGCAGCCTATTCTAGGACAACTAATAAGGGGTCGCTCAGTGGATTATGTTGCTCCGGGAGACTCCTCGAGGGAAGATGAACAATTCACCGCTAATCTAGATAGAGCGAATGTTAAGTTAGGACCGTATAGCTCGTCCCACAGCTAAATCGCTGCTAGCGTATATAGTCCCGTACGGGGTTGCGTTAGGCCAGCCGGGCAAGTTCTGCGGAGCTTATTGTCGATTTGAGTACGACCTTGCGGCGCCGATCGTGCTATCTAACAGTATAATGCGCTAGTTCCGGGAGCCTAATGTAGGAGAAGGCGTTGTTTTTCGTAGCGTAGAGCTCTTAGTTCCTCCCAAACTAGAGCTGTCCAATACTACAGTGACGCCTTCCACATTGCTACCAATGCAATCGCCTATATTATCTACTTTAGACTCTACGTCTCAATCTATAATGGATATCTCCATTCCGGAATCTCCAACTATAATGGAACTCTCGACCTCTCCCCCCGGTGAGTGCAATCGATATATATAGCATATCTCGAAACCAAGGCTAACCAGCTACCCAAAGACCCCTTTCATTAGAGATTCTCTCACTTAGAATTACGATAGGTACTAGAAACTTCCCTACTATAACTTAGCAAAGTTGGCTAATAGTGTTACAGGCTAGATATTATATGATAAAATGTAATATAGAAGCGGACATTAGAATCAGCATAGCCCATAACACGTAGGTATCGCACCGGAACGTTAATACACGATTAGATAAGGCATTCCGTCAAAATTTAGGATTAGTAGTGTTATTTTTCTCTATATCAGGATCGTAAGAGCGCCAAAACTTTCAGACCGATTACTCCCTTCATTTCATTTTCCCTTTTCCGTCGCTAATGTATTGTAGGCGTAAATTTTATGGCGTAGCTGAGTTGACCTCAGTATATAACCCCGAGACAACGGATAAGCATTGGGTTGAAGATAGGTTCACTAGGTGAGTCGCTTATCCATCCGCTTTTTAAGATTAATTGCTTACGAAGGCGTGCCCATTTATATAGTCGCTTCGATGTAAAGTAGCTTTGCCAGGCCGAAATTAGTTTTAATTTAGTTGAACATCTAAACCAAAAGGAAGGCAGGGAGTAGTCCGTGACTAGGCTATAGGATGGTAATGAGATATACGCATCGTCTAGACGAGAAATGTTAAGGATTTTCAGCCGTGCCATAGGTGGCTAACTATTAGAGTTGTTAGCTTTATGTATAAGAGGTATTAGTTTAAAGCTATTCGTTTTCCCGACCCGTATAAATAACCCTAATTTAGACGAGAAACATCTAATTATCTGAGCGCTTGGGTTAGGTTCTCCGCCCCAACCCTCTACACAATCTCCTTGTATACTATAGCGGAATCTTCTCCATTACTATTCTTAGCTATTAAGTATCTCATAACTACGGCAGAATAGTACTGACCCATGGTATGGCCGAGCCTTTCTCTAGCAATCTTCTAGAAACATACCGTAATATTTCGAGGGTTAGCGATTAATGATTACGGCGAGCTAAGCGCTGTTTCCGTGTCGTGGATCTCTTTGAATAGGCTCATAAGGGTTTCCGAGATACCGATTTCCAAGAGGACCAGCCTAAGGGCGTACAAGTCGTGTGCTTTCTAGAATCTTACGGTAGGCGCATTCTAGCGTATAGGGTACCGATACAAATTCTTCTTAAAGTCGGCATTAAAGCCGGAGAAAGCGGTAGTGTCGTCTTCGGGGCGGGAATACTCGAATCCAATGAGTTACGGCGACGAGTAGTCGATCCCGCCGTCGAGAGATGTAAGGAAGACAATATTGTAACTACGGATGTTCTTATGGATCCATCCGACCGTATGAAAGTACTAGACTACTCGTATAATCTTCTCCGCGAGAATAAAACGATCGGATAGCGACAGCCTTACTTTAAATTCTCGGGTTAATAGTACGCTATAAAGCGAAATTAGAATCTTAGTGCTGGAGGTGGAAGGAAAGTCGTAGATAAAGGCGTACTTGTGTTGAAATGTTTCGGATTCTCCAAGTTCGATATAGCCTCGGAATGGAAGAGTTATTAAGTCGGAGTTAGCTGAAGCGTAGAGTAGATTTGCAAGTTATCCGACGGCCTTATCGAGTCCGTTCACCATAGCTCCGGTGGATTCCTTGAACTTAACCAATACTTTTCCGTTGCCAACGGAAGGTAATATTGCGACGACGACGGCTAAATCCTCTAGTTAGTCTTCGATCACTATTAGGAGATCTCGAAGGGTAAAATCAGTATGCTCTAATTCTAGTTCTAGAGTAAGTCGCTTTAGGGACGTAGATATACCTAGACTAAGGCTCTCAGCATCCGATGCTTTAGATACTTCAAATAGCAACTAAGTTAGATTGACATGCCGCTGCGCCGCCTAGGTGGAAATCTAATCAAGTAAACATGGCGTCGCAATCTCTTTAAGCTTCGACGTCCACTTCCGAAAGTTTATAAGTATACCTTCGTATTTCCGACGGTAGACCAGAGCCCACTTAAAGCCCTTTAAGGTGGTTGATAACTATGCCGATGCACTCTATTGCATGATCATAAGGTTGTTGACTAGCGGCTCTAGTTCAAGAGGAAACCCTACCAGTCCATTGTGCTCTAGGTTATTCAAAACCGGGGACCACTGTCGATACTAGAGATCCTCCTTCACCGCGATCGCCTAATACTCGTTGAACACTTCTTGAAGCCGGGACAAGTAAAGATTTATCATTTACATCCACTCCTATAATAGTAAATATTTAGTTAATCTTTAGGTCTAAATTCTAGAAATCTAGAGGCTAACCTCATCGCAACTAAGGGAGTTAGGATCCCGAAGGAATCTATTCCCGAAATCCCGCAGAAAAAGTAGTTCATGATAGAACTCAGCCTAAAGGTCGTGTCGTTCAGTAGCTGCCTGCTTTAATGTCTTAAGGAGTCTATAGACGGCCCTCGACAAAAGGAAGACTTCTTTGAAAGTCTGAACGCAAGCGAAGGCGAGACTAACAGGTTCGGCCATAGGGGATGAGAATTCAAGACCTTATAGCCTTTACTGAACCTTTATAGTAGATCGCGAGGCTGGGAATGTCGCCAAGATAGTGGCGATGTCTATAGATCTAATCGGTAGTAATGGGTTTATGGCGGTCATTTCTTCACTCCGTATTAGTAACTATATCTTGTGATATAGAGGACGAGCCCGCTTTCATAGCACTAAGGAGCTAAATTATGCCCTCCATCATAGACAAAGGGTAGTGTGGGTGGATCAAAACAACGGCCGCGGGAAGGGGATCCGTTAGAATATCGTCGGGCCCAGTAATGCTCTATATATATACCTAGGGGATTTCCTAAGTGCATACTTAGGAAATCTTAAGATCGACACCCCATTCTTAGCATCCGACGCAATTCTGGCTGCTACCCAATGGGCGGTCAGCATTCAAAGGATGAAATACAGTCGACGAGATGTCTTCCGGCGCAAATTACCACTTAGGTTACACACTTTTCCGTGATCTATGCTAGCTGTGTACAGCCGCGGCTCGCTGGCCAGCCTCGCTACCTAAAGGCACCTCTTAGCCTAACCAACGCTCTTCACTATACTTTTATCGCCATCGCTCGGTCAGTCCTGGCCATGGCTGAGCACTGAGCCTCCCCAGACACATTTAGTGACTCATCTCAATCTCATCTCTACGAAGACCCTCCCTTCACTCGACCTCGACCACAAGCCGCCGTTACGTAAGCGTAACGACTTCCTACGTGAGAGTCACTCTACTCTCTATCGGCTTGTTCTGGTGGGTCCATTACGCAACCCTTGCAGCTGACAGCCAATGCTTGCTCTTTTCCTTCGCTGCTTCCAGCGTCTCAAGATTCCATATCCGTTAGTCCAAACCTGAGATGCTCTTCATAGAATCTCAGCATTGGCCGGGGACAGTGTCGATGGACCTTATCCATACTGACACATATCTGCTCACCGTTCTTGAAGAGTATATAGGCGAGCAGTTTCCCGGAATCATCTCTCTCCACTGCTTTCACTCTGACTACTTGCGGCTCCCAGTCTTCCTTCATAGGCACCCACGCCGATTCTTCCCGCCGAGTGGATGAAGGAAGGATTTTTCTTTTCTGTCGTTTCACAGCCGGAGCCAGGTGCTCCTTTGCCTCGGATCCGAAACGCTTTAATTGTTTCGACTTTGCCTTTTTGAGTGCATTCTCGCCGGATCCACCGATACTGGTATGATACTGTTGTAGGATTTCAGGAGCGTAGCTGGGAGAACAGTCGGTTTCTAAATCTTGATCATCGTCTTCGCAATCTTCATGTGTACCATCGTCTGTGGTTTCTCCACGCGCAGCTTTGTCGGTGGCCCTGTCAACATCATTGTCTAGCTCCTCGTTCATTGGATATTTGCCATCCGGAACGGCTCGAGGAAGATCACTATTAACAGAAATATCGAGATCACTTCCGACCTTTGAAATCGATTTGTCTGATAGGTGGTCAGCGTCTGGTTAGGCGACTTTGTGACACGGGGCAACTTGCAATGCGCTATGGAGGCGACACTTACCAACGCGTCCAGTCATTTCGGAATATGTAGTATATGAGAGAGCAATGAGCGAAGAAGCCGTAGTCGAAAGGACGGAAGAAGTGCTCCCTCAATGTTGTAGTGGCTTAGGAGCGGACGATCTTCCAGCATACGTACTGTATCAGGAAAACAGCACAAACCAATGTATGTACAGCTTGATTCCACCTCTTGTCGCCATCCTGAAGCATCAGCGCGATTGTGCCTGACTCCAACACCACGAGAAGGTGCAAATCTTATCGTTCAACAGGGTCGACCGCCTTCAGTGGTCCTTCACACCGATTTCCATGGCTATGGTCACCTAAAGTCGTCCGTGAAGCCGCTACATGGGGTGCTCCACCTTGCGTAATTGCGAGGCTGGACAGTGGTGCAAGGAACGTGGTGTGGCTAACCGCCGGATTTTGGGGAGGTGCAGGCAGCAAGACGCAGAGAAGACCAGAGAAGGCATTCGAAATCCAGGGCATCGACCACAGAAAACCGTGGTGCCTCCTATGGCTATCAGGGTCAAAGCGATCTCCCACTGATTTTCAGTTTTCTACCTTCGAGCAGATGCGAATGCGAAGTCGAGGAGTTACGGGCATTCATAAGTCCTTCAGCAGCAATTTACGCAAGAGATACAATGGTTGACCAGATGACTCTTTATGCCAGCCACCCAAGCGCCCGAGACCAGCTGCCCTGCCATATAATAGCCACGAAGCTGCCACGCAATGCTGCGCTGCAGCAGATCTCACGCTGTTGGACAGTCGGGCCTGGGAAAGCACGTTTTGAAAAGTGGAGTTGATGAGCTACGGGCAAGCGTATGCCGTCAAATGGCAACTTGCAAGAAAGACTGAATGATCGACTGGGATTTCCGCCTACGAATGGGCGCAAATCAGCCTCTTGGTGTGCCAATGTATTGGAGGCTCGCAGAAGGTAAGGCACGCTGCTCGGTATATTCCGCGGCCCACGCTCAAAGCTTTGACGGTGCATTACCAATCCTCCCCCAAGCATTTCAGCATCGTTCCGTGATGAACACGGCAGGTTCAAAATAATTCATGTCTCGAGGAGTCAAGGCCGGTGTCTAGGCACCATGTCCCTTCGTGTTACAAAAATTGCCCTTCTCCTCAACACCGTAGCTATCATCTTTCTTCACAGTTGAACATCCCAATGTCTTCTCGGAACCACAGCATTCGCCTTTCGTATTTAGAATCGACGACGAGCTCGTCTTCCTGGCAACAGCCGTTGTGCTCCAAGTCTGCATAGGCCTACCCACTTTGCAACACGGTTCGAAGTTGCGCACTATAAGCGCTTTGCAAATGCAACCCACTTGCTTGAGGGTGGTAGCGAATTAGTCACGGGCGCTGCGGGAATGGGTGCTACATGCTCCTTGCTTGCGCTTGCGAGTTTGAGGGGGAAGGACGGAGGACTCGGGCTCGCCGGGAGATGTTACTATTTAACGAATTAGCAATACTCAATTGAAGTATCGCATGGGGTTAAATACTTTGTCGCGGCTAGAACTTTTTGTCTCAACTGCGCCGCATTGCAAGGTACATTGCCGACGTACCACGGTCTCGAGGCCACTCTCTGTAATAGAAGATTCATTCAATACAAGGTTCATTCTAGGTTGGGGGCAGAACTTACCATCGCAACAAGGCCCAGCATTTAGGCGGTGCTCCCAAGTGACCCCATCAAGGTGGCAGGCAATGCACGGGGCGAGAGAGGTTCGAGAGGATTCCATAGAGTCGAGATGACCGAATAACGAAGGTCGAATGAATTGTCGACTCGAGAGGCAGTAAGAACGGACGGCAGCAGAGTCAGAAAGTAGACTTTTGGATAAAAGTGAAGCAGTGCACGTTGCTTACTGGGATTTTCAACCCCTCTCAGGCGAAGAATATACAGCTACCAGCAGTCTGTCATAGAGAATATAGCCTTCGTTAGTCCGTCTGCGAGTAGCCGGCACGAGTTCTAGGGCAGGAACCGATTTTGCGGAACCTTGGCCCAAGCAAAATGCAAACGAAGCCAACTCGCCAAGACTGCGTAAGTTGGCTCAGACGTGAACAAGCACAACGCTCCCCTCCCGCGCTGGACGGCTGCATCTTGGGCGGCAAGAGCGTAGAGCCACGTTGTAGCTGGTGGAGGATTTTTGTAGCGATCGCATTCCTTGTCTCTTACACGCCACCGTACTAGGGTCTGTCGGCAGTTCTTCGATAGGTGCGGAAGTACCCAACAGGGGTACTCTGGTGCACGAGACGGCAGTACAGACAGTGACCATTTTGCAAGTTAAAAATTGCTTTTTTGAGCAGGGTTGAGTAGGGTTGAGCAAGTTTGAGCAAGTTTGAGCATACTGTATAAACATCAACGCAGCCACCTCCGTACAGTCCGCCCCGCAGTGGGCGACCCACAAGGGGTCTTTTCCTAAAATAGTTTAGCCAATATTTCACTGTACACCAATGGGCCTACTTTGTATTAATAATTCCACGTGACTCTTACGCCAATGTTACAGCCATTGTTACATGTCTCGTGACTTGCTTTGCGCGAGAGGTAAGAGCGGCAATAAAGGTAATCTCAGTCCCCCTTTCATTCGTTAAATTCTTGGCGGGGATCGACGGTGTCAGTGCAGGAGTCAAGCCGGCCACGCGGCCCTCGTAAAATAAAGTGCTACGTCTTAGTAATAAGACATAATATTGATGCGATAGTGTTCAGCTTTACCATAAATCCATTCATTTCAGAACACCGAACTGCTACGTGTGGCTTAGATGAATCCCCCTAAAATTCAACTCCTCTCTGTGCCGGATTGTCCGCTGGTTGCGAAGGTGCGACTACTGGCGGAGAATTGTCTCGTTCAGGTACATCTCAACGTTGCTGTGGAGGAAATTATCGGAAACCATAACTCCCCTACGCTTCTGGTGGACGGGTTCGATGTCACAGGACGTCCAGCGGCACCGGAGGGCCAAATGTCATGTCGACTTGACCTTCTAAATGAAGAGCAAATTTTGGCCGCTCTTCGGGGCTTGACCATTCTGAGGTGTGAAAACGCAAAGAGCTAGTTCAAGCGGCAGCCTTTCAGAACCTAATCCGTACTGGTCAGCATTTTACCATTGAAGCTATCGCGACCTTGACGGAGTTGGACAATACCACAGTTACGGGCTCCTTTAATAGGATGCGTCGGGCCGGCCACATAAGATTTGATTCTGATGGGCTCATTGAGGGGGCTGCTGGATTGAGCCTATCCCCAACAAAGCATGAAATCTCGATAGGCGGGAGAAGGTTCTGGACATGGTGTGCGTTGGACGTACTTGGGATCTTTGGGGCTTTAAAAGCCTCTGGATTTGCCAAATCCGGTGACCCTTTGAGTGGTGAGAATATTGAACTCCGATTTATCGATGGAGTTGTGCAGCAGATGAACTTCGCAGTTTTCCTTCCGGATTTATCCAACGGAGCCTCGGTATATTGCGACTGGTGTCCAAACACCAAATTCTTCGTTTCCAGATCTTCAGCGGAGAGATAGGCTCAGGCAAATGCAGCTAAGGGCTCTGTGATAGCGGTAGCGAATCTGGTTCCCGTCGCTCGAGAAGTATGGTCTCGGCTTATTGTATCATAGTGTCAAGAACCTGATACTCGGGTGAGTCTTCGGTGCTTATCGTTTACTGATAAGTGGGGCAAGTGTAGGGACAATGATAGAACTATACCGGGCTAGGCGTCGCGTATAGTAGACAGGAATATATCAGATAATACTGTCCCAAAGGTAGGGGTAGGATTGATGGCGAAGTTGACTACGGATCGTCCCAAGGTAGGGGCCGATCCCTTAGCTATATAGTCCGGTACAGTACTGAGCCAGCTGAGCCCGACTGAGCCATACTGTGCCTTGTCACGTAACCTAGCCTTGCTCCGGCCACGGCCGCTGTCTGTCTCCCGGGATACCTTCCTGTCTTCCTTTGTCTGCAGGCCCCTCCAGGCTCGTGCAGGTCAGTTCGTAACACATAGGGTTTAAGTCTATAGGCTTATACCTTTAGCGAGGAACTTATTTCCATGGTATTCGGAGATGCATCGATCGAGGGGGCTGTTACGAAAGGGCTCTGCTCAGTGTGCCAAGGAGCACGTGACTAGCTAGCATATCTTTTGCGCGAAGCGTACGGAGCACTCCTGACTCCTTAACGCTTCGAGTTGATGTCGATACTGCCTCCATAGTTAGGTACAGAGGTTCCCGAAACTGCCCTCCCCTTTGTAGACACATTGCAACTTTCTTTCAACCCCAAGCTAAGACGTAAACAGAATGGCCTTTCCTATATAAGTAATTATGGTCGCATCTCACCTAATTAACAAATGATTGATCGTTGAGCGGTATTATCGTATTGTTAATACGCTGCCATCCGGTCATTGATTCGTCTGACAGACGCAATGCCCGTATCATTAGTGCACTAACTCCCGCTGTAGTGGCAAGAGAAGAGTGAACAATAAGAGGGCCTTCCATAATCACGCCTGTAGATCCGACCAATCTTTAATGCTATATTACTACTGTATTAGAGTCCATTGCAACCCTCGTACCTTTACTGCTTGACACTCCATTTAATTCTCTTTACACTGCAGTGGCAATTGAATTTAGGTTGGCCTCTTGCCCAATATAACACACCAGTTGTACTGTATCGGTATCCCCAATCATGCTGCACTAAATCTTAGCCTTCACATATCTCGCATGGACTATTACACATATTGTTACAAGTCTCGTGACAGGTCTTCGAAGCATATCAGAATAGTAATAACAGCATCCCTGACGGCGATCTAGCACGTGACCAACTTTCCTCCCTTACCTCCTGCTGCTTTTTCTTCGGTATATCATCGGGAAGCGCTTTGGCTCCCCACAAATTGTGTGATGATCGCTCGAGTATCCCTTTTATAATCCGTAAACCAGCCCACATGAACGTGTGGTTAGGGGAGAACCTTCACTCTCTACAGGTATAGCCCTTTGTTGATCGCCGAGTGCACTTTCAATAATGTGGCATGTAGTATTTAATAACGGCGGGGGAAGCTGTTCATGGCACATTGCCATGGGGTTGCGCTTGCCGCCGCAACGTGATTTGGTCTCGACTGCGTTCAGCCTGATCTCAGTCGTGCGGTTGTGACGATGTCTGCCATCTCTCACGCGCATCATTCTAACACTGCCTTTAATTCTAACGCTCGTTTAGTTTGATGCGATGCCATCCTGATGTTGCCAAGAAGCGAATAACCCCTCAACCTGGCCCTCTCCTACACTATCCTGACCCACCCCAATGATGCCCATCAAACCCCCCCGCGATCGCTGCAGCTTCGAAATCGCCCTGATCTGTGCCCTGCCGCTGGAAGCTGAATACGTGCAAGAAGTTTTTGACAAGTTCTGGGAAGATGAAGGCAAGAAATATTGGAAAGCCCCGGGGGATTTTAACACCTACACGGCTGGGGTGATAGGGGAACATAATGTAGTTCTGGTCTACATGCCCGGTATGGGGACCACTAGTGCCGCGGCGGTGGCGGGCTCCTTACGCGTGAGCTTTCCAAACATCAAGCTGGCTCTGGTGGTCGGCATTTGTGGAGGGATGCCCTACGGGACGGATCAAGAGGAGATCATACTCGGCGATGTGATTATGAGTCAAGCTGTCGTCCAATATGACTTTGGGAGACAGTATCCGGAGGGATTTAAGAGGAAGAATGCTATTCGAGACACTCTTAGTCAATCAAGTCCGGATATCCGAGCTATCCAGGCTAAGCTAGGGACCAGTCGGTACAAGAAGAGGATGCAAAATAACATTACTACATTTCTCCAAGAGATTCAACGGAAGCTGCCAAAGACGAAGCATCCAGGCCAAGAGAATGACATCCTCTACCATTCATTATATGTGCACCATCACCACTCGCCAGCGATGTGCGATGAGTGTAAAGAACACAAGGTGATATGTGAACTCGCCATCAAAACTGAATGCGAAGACCTGGGCTGTGAGTCTATCATGCGAGTGACTCGTAATCGCTTAATGGGTGGATCGACAACGCAACCGGAGGTTCACTTCGGCATCATGGGCTCCGGGAACACTGTGATGAAATCAGGACAACACCGTAACCGGATGGCGCAAGCGGATGGAATTATTGGTTTCGAAATGGAAGGGGCAGGCGTATGGGATTACTTCCCGAGCATTATCATTAAAGGCGTGTGCGACTATACCGACAGTCACAAAAGGAAAGGATGGCAACGATACGCGGCAGCAACGGCAGTAGCGTGCACGAAGGCTTTTTTGATGGAGTGGAACGTAGAGGGCGCAGCCACTGGTTCAGGTTAGCTTAAATATTTCATTATTGCAGTTTATTCCACTAGTATAACTACCTTCTAACCAGCATTTCTCAGCTTCTTTTAAGCCCCTCTGGTTAGTTCCCTTTGGGAGAAATTGGGATTTCGTGGGACGGAAAGAGATTATAAGTCGGCTTCTCGAGACAGTTCCTCCCGACGTGGACAAGGACAGCTGCCAACGTACCGCCATCGAAGGTCTCGGAGGCGTAGGAAAGACTCAGATGGCTCTGGAGGCCGCTTTCCGTGTTCGCGACCAATATCTAAACTATTCTATCTTCTGGGTTCCCACCGTGGATATTACCAGTTTTGAGAATGTATACCGTGAGATTGGCCAGAAGCTCCAGGTGCCGGGGATCGAGGAGGGTGTGGCCGATATTAAATCGCTTGTCAAGAATGCAATGAGCCAAGAAAGTTGTGGTAGTTGGCTCCTAATTGTTGATAACGCTGACGATGTAGAACTCCTCTTTACCACTAATATAGCACTATGCGACTATTTTCCCGCCACAACGAAATAGTTTACCAATTCGAGGTCAACGGGAACGATAAAGACGGGTTGACGAAGATCCAGATATGGCAGCCCCCTATTAATCTGTGTAATTCGGAGCTTATGAGACCCGTTTTGAGAAGAAACTGCACCCAGGAAGTAGTCTGTTGAAGCGTGCTTTGAACGTCCAGCAGCCGAAGATTCATGGCTTGACTTGTTTTCTGGGCATGCAACGGCCTGTACCTTTACCAAAGGCTCAAGATCGTATACGCATTGAATGTCCCTTTTTTGGCATCGTTGACATTTGGGCAATTGGATGAGACATCGGCGTTTTGATCTTGTGCAGCTTTGGCATGCTTTACGCAGCGGCATGACTTTTCGATTGCTTATTCCTGAGATAATGCACTAGACGGAGTTGAGCCAGGGCACATGTTCGAGCAAATCAAGGACCAATGCGACCTACAGGGAGCAATGTTGTATTAAAGAGGATTAAGTCCCACCTCGTTAAGGGAGTCCATTTGTAATCAGGTGTGTAATGGACAAAGCTTGGATGCCAAGGATTCGTGTCTCGGGCTTGAGCAGCGGGAATGATTCGGGACAGATTCTTGGCAACGATTATGCCAAGTTTTGGCCCCCAACGATTATACCAAGGAATGGATATCACACCCAATTTTGTACTGTGTTTGCATCGATTTGCATCAATATTGATAAATAGATATAGACTATTGCTCCTCCTCCTGCTCAATAAATGAACCCTTAATCACGCGCCTCGACTAGCCTAGTTGTCGGTTGCCTGCGCCTTTTGCCTCTGGTGAGCACTGACGGCGCTGTTAAGGTCGGTAGTAGAGCACTTGGTGAGGCCTCAGGTGAGGCCTCACGGCGCGGACGAGGCCTTTCAGGAGTCCTTATGGGTAAGGATAGACCTATAGACCTTGGAGGAGTATTAGGGATACTCTCCGGGGCTACTTCTCTAGTAATTCCTATAGTAGTTTCCCCCTCTTGTAATCCTTGAGCTTCTAAAGTAGTATTTGCTTGCGCTGTTATCACTGCTTGCGCTGTTGTCACTGCTTGCGCTGTTGTCATTGCTTACGCTGTTGTTATTGCTTGCGCTGTTATTATTGCTTGCTCTGCTGCCTGCGTTGCCTGTTGTCGCTCTTATTGGAGCACTCTCTGACGCTCTCTTTGCTCTTATTGAATTGCCCTTTCATTGGCCGTGAGCGCTCGCTCGTTAGCGCGTCTATAGCCGCCTCGACGAGCTAAATTACCCTCTCTGCGGGCATCTGATAGATAGAAAGGAGTCTATTGAAGGTAATAGCTATTCTCTGCCTACTGTAGAAGGCTTTATAGAGTAAATATTAAGTTATTCTCTATTTAGCGCTGTACTTAACTTTATTAAATATCTAATTAATGCCTCTACTTAGGGCCTAGAATACCTCTTATCATTAATATTTAAGTGATAAGTAAGGCTACAGTATTGTTGGTCCTTATGAGAGCTTAGAGTACTAAATTAAGGTATAGAAGGGTTTCTAATTAGTAGAGTGAATAGGCGGCCTATTTAGCCACTAGCGTAGATGAATTAAGGTTTTTAGTATCGGTAAGTTCTTAATATAGGCCTTTTTAAGGTAGTGGGCGTAGGCAATACTAAATCGCAGTAGAATCTTATAATCATAGCTATTTAGCGGTATTTTAAGGTCTTATCCTACTAGTATTTACCTATTAAGAGCAGCCTATTCACTCTTAAGGCGTAAGAGAGTATATTTGCTTATTGTCATACGTAAAAGACGAAAAGGAGTAGTCTACGTAAGTAATGAGTAGCTGCCCGCGGAGGAGGCCTTATCCTAGTCGATATCTTTAATAATCGAGTTTACCTTAAGGATAAGTCTTTTTACCGACTTATCAAGTGATAATTAAGCGTTTACTAGCTCCTTAACAGTATTATAATAGGACTTAACCCTTTAACTGACGGTAGAGCCTAAATTAGCTAATTTATAGGTATAGAGATAAACTACCTTTTACTCCTTTAGTATCTAAGTCTTCTACAGATATTAGGTGAATTAAGGGCTAATTGTAAGGCCTAATGCTTAACGATTCTCTGTAAGTTTATTATCTGACTTTAAGCTAAGATATTATCAATAGGCGCCTTTATAAGTTATTTTAATATCGTCTCTAGGAGTGCCCAATTACCTCATCTTTACCACTATTGCCTCGACGATATACCAGTTATAGAACTATTGTTTTGCCGTAGGAAAAGCCCTAGGAATTAACGCCGTTAAGCCCTTACTTTAGTTATCAATAATAACTCGAGTAGGTGCGCAGGATACCTTATTTAATCGATTAAAGCAGTGATCCTTAAGGTACTGCTAAAAAAAGGTATATAAAGCCTTATCCTCCTTAGGGCAATAAGAGAAGGCTACAGGGAAGGTTTTACCGCTATTTAACTAGCCAACAGCGACGAGTAAAGGTAGTTTCAGGCGGTTAGTATTAAATATCCTATTAATGACAAGGCAAAAATTACTGATAAAGCGCTAAATCGCTAGTATTAATTTAGGGTAAGTAAACTAGGCTTAAATGAGCTTTCTACCACTAAATTAGCCTTGCTCATTAATAAAAACCTTAACTCTAGTTTAGTAAATCTACTGCTTTTCCTGTAATTTAGCGATAAGACTAAAAACCGAGTTTCTCTCACCGTTTAGGCGCTGTTTTCTCACTATATTATAGAACTCTCGACTGAATAAATGCAGCGCTAGATCCTTACTTTCCAGGATCCTTCGAGAAGTAGAATATATAATTTAAGTACGCCTGTAGGCAGTGGCCTTTACTAGGAGTTCCTGGAACTTAAGAATGCGTCGTTTATAAGTAGGATAAACAGCTAATAAGTTCTTAAATAGTGGATGACCTTAGTAAGTGAGAATAGCCTTTATAAGGCGCTACTCTCTACCCTGTACCTCATCCTTTTTGTTAATTAAAACCTAGGTAATTCTAACCCGCTAAATACAGCTAGTTTAGCGGATATTTATGCCTTCTCGCCTACGCTCAGAGGTAATATTACCTTCTCTATTACGAATCACTCGATCCTCTAATCCACGATTGTTCCTAGTTACCTAGCCGTAATGAATATACTATAATTGAATACCTAACTAATCAGCGCTACTACCTTCAGTACAGATAACATTAAATCCTTGTACTAGCGAGAAAAGCTGTAGGCGTGCCTCAGCGTCTTTGCGGCTATCGAATACCTCTCCTACAGCTGGATCCTACCGCCAGGCGGCTGGCAACGAGTTCACAAACCTCTCGAGTACCGCGCGGTAATGCTTATAGCACCCTTTAGAAGCAGTCCAGGCAAGAGAATTAGCCATTCTAGCGATAAAAGAGCAGTAAAAGAGCAGTGAAAAGAGGAGGACTTAAGAGTAGGAATAAACACCAAAAAAGGCTATATAAACTGGCAGCGATGAGGTCGATGAGTGAATTTATCGATATCGATGGCAAGTGATGCAAAATCAGTTGATTTCACACTAAAATTGGGTGTGATATCCATTCCTTGGCATAATCGTTGGGGGCCAAAACTTGGCATAATCGTTGCCAAGAATCTGTCCCGAATCATTCCCTGAGCAGCAGTTCCTGCGTCTACTCAAATGGGTTTAGTTCCCACCAAACCATTTCGAATTCTCCAGGGGAGAAGGCTCATTTCACAGCGTCTTCTCGAACATTTTAAGCTTGGGTTCATCAGGAGAAGTCAAAGACGGACGAGTGGTCCGAATGGCCCCTCATGGGAGTCGGTTTCCCTTGCTACCTTGCCTGAAATTGAGTATTGGAATGAGCCCGAAGGAGATTGGCGGCATTCAACTAAGAGTTGACTCGGACTAGAAGGGCGGTTTTCATGAAGCCTATAATATATCAGCATGATACATACTCGAGTAAGTATATATCGTATTCCAAATCGTCCATAAACATTCCCACTGCCTTCCCTTTCCCCTTCATTCATTCTCCGAACCTTTTGCCTTTTCCAATTATGGCGGTTTTATTTCAAAACTCATCTTTCGGATCCCTTCTACAGCTTTTGTTTTCCGGAAAATTATCCTTCTCCCAAGGCCTGCTGGATATTGAACCGTTGCAGCATAGCATAAATGCGAAAGAGAACGATTCTCCACCAGAACAAGACCAAGAAGAGATTGTGACATGGAATGGGCCTGGTGAGCCAATACATAACGAGAACATGGGGTTCTAATCGCAAGTAGATGATCCTGATAGCCCTCTCAACTGGCCTCTCTCCAGGAAGATTTGGGTCACTCTGGTTATCAAGTTAGGGAGCTATGCCTTGGAGTGTTCATCGCTAATTTGCACAGCTTTCATCGCGACATCAAGCCTGAAAACTAATTAATCACAAGGCGTGACTATTCTCGACAGCCCGAAATCAAGAGACGCTTAAACCAGTGTGCACACTCCTGTGTGAAAACAGCGAGAGGACTCATGGGTCCAGTTAACAAGCAGTGATCGACAGCTTGTTACAACTTTGCTGGTAAACATTATCACTCAAGATGGAAACATGATTTATTCTGCCCTGAAATTGCCCGAGATATAAGACATATACCATCCACGATGCAAGTCAATGGACTCTTTCGATCACTTGAACACGATCTGAAGTAGTGCGTTCACCAGGCGTGGCCGACTCCGTGGGAGTTGGGATCCAACCAAGACGACAAACAGCATTGAGCTGTTGAAGATAATTCTGCAGCTCTTTGGAAGTCCGCAACCCGGCTACGGGCTTCATATCGTTTACAAGCCGTTTGCTGTAACAGAAGTACGACAGCTGCATCCCAATATTGAAAGGATCGCGTTGTACAGGAGGTCGCACAACAAAGACCGTCCGTCTTGAGCCGGCCATAAGGAAAAGGGCGGCGGCACAAAAACCAAAACCGGTCCACATAGTGTTATAAAAGTCATCTTTGATGTATCCCTGGCCTTGTTGTGTCATCGAGGCGCTGATACCGAAACAGATAAGCGCAACCTCCAGCAGGAATGAAGCCAATGTCACGATACCCAGGAGTTCCTCGTTGTCCCAAAATGCAAGTATCGAAATTGCAACGGGCGGGGTTGAGCTATAGTCCCGAGCCATAACCGGCCATGCAGATCGAGGTGACATCGCAAGGGCACGGAAGGGCGTGAATGCAATGACTTCATGTTCGACTGCTTTCCATGTGCTCTTCATAACGACACTTAGGACGAGGATTGAAACTGAGAACCCGATATTGTTCTGCGTTCCTTGGTTGACTGTTGTGTCCAGAGCGGTTGTCTTATCCGAACCTGTCCCGTCGAGGAGACCAGAAATAATTAGTGCTAGAAGCAGGCCGCAAGCCAGGTAGCTGAGGTTCACAGTCCATCGAATGAGGATTGCTCGCGAAATCTTCCTTTTTATCGTTTGGATAAGCCCTCCATTTCTATTTCTTTCCCTCAGCTGGGCCTGCACTGTATCCGGGCCAGTGCTGTCCGTCCAGGAAAACCCATACACTGGTCCACCGGCGGCTGCCCTCCAACCTAAGTGAACCTTCAGTTTCCTGGGGTCCTGCAGCGACGTCCTTGTCCCTTGAGTGCCTGTTTCCAACAATCCAAATATTCCTCTAAGAAATTCTGTATCAGCACTTGCAAGGCTTGTCATCGCACCCAAGCCCTTCAGCGGACCGGGCATCCCGCTAGGTCGTTTCCATAGTATCCAAGCCAGGATTGCTCCCAGCACCGCAACAGCCAGCAGAACGACCACTTGGATCCTTGCCATGAGCGGGTCAAGATAAACCATATTTCTCAGTAGCCCAACTTTGGAAGCCTCATAAACATCTGGAAACCGATAATCCGAAGGATCATCCCAGAGAACGCCCACAAGCGACCCATAATCTGCGTCTGGAAATTTCTCCTCTGTAATGGGGTGAAAATCTCCGTTGCCGTACATATACCCAACTTGCATTACTTGCGATTGAATTTGGAACATCTGAGATTGCAAAATCGGCGTCACCACTCCAACAAGGACATAAATTGAAGAGGATAGTAGGACGGCCCACTGACGCCAGCGGAAAGCCTGGAAGGGCGAGAGGAAAGGCGGCAGACTGATATATTCGCTGAAGATGGTGGTCGAAGCATTTGCGCCGGTAGGTTGTGAGGAGGCTTGATAAAAAGTCTCGATGCGCTTAACCTCATTGTCGACGATTTCCCAGAATATCGCATATAATACGGCGATAATACTTGGGAAATAGATCCAGAGGAAGTAGGAAGACGTGGGGAGGGAGTCTGGGGTGAAAAAAGTAAGAAACCCTTGTTTGGGCGGAGTGTTGCTGAAAACGGGCGTGTCGCGTTGTACGATGTAGTGGCAGTCGTTGTAGTCAGAATGATGACAATACCACGTTGTCCATTCAGACAGCAGCTGACGGGGTGTGAATATTCTGTTCCCTTGTTCAGCCAGGACTTCGAGAACTATTGCGATAGCTCCAGCGCAGAGGATAAGGGGCAACAGGAAAACTGGGTGGACCTGCCACGGCCTCCAGTTGCAGAATTGTTTTGCTTTCTCGGTATCGGCTGCCATCTTCTTGGTGCTCAGAGTGTCGCTCGGGTGGTGTTGGTCTACAGCCTGATAATGGTACAAAACCAGGAGCTGGATGGGAGGACAGAGTTTGCGGGGCATCAGCTTTATGCACAAGTTGCATCGTCAGGAAAATTCTTCGAGCTCGGCCTCATCAAGTGTCGTCCAGAGGCGCAGCCGATCCGTAATCTGAGGAAGAAGAGTTAAAGTTCAAAAGAAATTCGATAAGGGGTACACAACTCCAAAGTGGGATCGCGGTTGCCTTTTTACTCATCAATTCAGCCTTGGGGGCTGACCCCAGCCTCCCTGGAGCAAAGACCACTTGTCTGCTGGTGCATTGACGTTCACCTGTACCGGGTGTCCTTTTTCTTCCAGGCATTCATTATACCTCGGGGTTTTCTTTGTGCTTGAGATACACGATAGAGTATAATGCTGCAAGGATAATGCGGCCTTTCCCGATTGACACATTTGACATATTGGACATCCCTGAGTTACTCCTGGTTCCCTGGCCATTTTCAACTTTTCTTCCTCAACAGCCGAGTTACAAACTCCGAAGTAGCAAGAGAGGGTTATTGCCACCCTTTAACTAATGAGATAGAAAGTTTGATCATCATGGACGTTCGCCCCAGATATAAGACTGTCGAGTGGTGTTCACTTTGAGAGACCCCACATTGATCACTCATTTTGCCACCAATTAATCTATTCGGAGCCGACTCCGAATGCTCCTTGACCATGATTGGTGCTACTGTGATTTTGCATGATGACAATCATTTGCAGCAACTTCTGTTCCTCCAACACCTCATCCCACTTGAGACTTCTCCCACGTTTGAACATTGACTTTTAGCCAGGAAAAGAGACTGATCCACCTATTCGCAGGTTTCAATTCTGTGGCGGTATGAGTTATGATCTCAAGCAATCCGTCCGCGACAGGTTCGCTACGAGCAGAAGGATGAACCCTTGAACAAAGCTGCACAAACCATTCGTACACCCGAGACGAAAGCTCCACGGTTGTTGACACCTATGCCACATGGTTTTTCGCGACGTCCTTTAATTAAAAGGCCAGAGCCTACATCAACGCGTCAACGTACGAAGAATATCTCATCAGCATGCCTTGTGGGTGATCCTATCAGAACGTTCGTGAAAGAGTGATAGCTGACCAAGTTTTCACCAGAATTGCAAAAGGAAGCGGTCTAAAGTGCGTTCACTTGAACCTCATTTCTCACAGATTGCTGATCCAAATTCCTTACATCTCGTATAGTGTGACGGTGGCACGACCTGCCAAAGATGTGAACAATCACGAGTCCACTGTGTACATGTCACCTAGACTCGGCGCTTAAGTTCCGACCGCAGCAGAAAAGTACATCAAAACGCCCATTCTTCTTTCCATCATTTCGAGCGACCATGGCACGACAAGACAATGTGACCGCTGAGAAGACCAGAAGACAGTCACTGAAGCTGCCACACAAAGATCATTTATCCGCTTCCTTCCCCAGTACCCGGCTGACCAAGAAAGGGAAATGCGCCCAAAACATCAAGAACGGACAAAAGCAATTCCCTCTTCGACGAAGCACTCGTCTGAACCGCTTGAATGAGGTTACTGAGCATCAAGCAGAAGCCAGCCGGCAGCCTCTACCTTCTCCAGTCAGCGACATTAAATGTCCTAATGTAAGTCACCAACGGCATGTTGTGATGGGACTCTAAGAGAACACAGAGAGCGCAACCACCTCTTACCCTACTCCCATCGAAGCCTCCGAAGCGGAAACGAGAAACTGCCCTCTCTGAAACGACCGCGAACATCTCGTCCTAGATCCTCCCTTCCGGACGTTAATTCTATTACATATTGGACGCGGACACTTAGCTGGCCGGAAGGATACTCCAACGAAAGTGGCGAAATGAGTCATCTATTGGCGAGAAAGAAATCCAGCGCCTCGCTTCATCGAAAGCGATCGGATAGCGATTCTGGCGCACCAAGCTCAACCACACCGAGTGATCAGAAGCCTGGAGAAGAGAAGAGTGCGTCTTATCAAGATGTGCGTTATAAGACCGTGCTTGCTACAAATGATAGCTTCATGGGCAAATATAGGCATGGGGCTACGAGCGACAGCAAGCGATTGTGCCAACAGCTCCTTAACGCGCAACAATCAACACCACAAGATGCAATGTTTTCCGACGACCACTTCGAAGATAACCTGTGAAGCAATAAGAAACAAGAATGAGGCTAGGGTGGTCCGAGATATCTCACTTTTGATTGTCATTTCGGAGCCAGGGCTATGGATGACAAGGGGCTGAGCCTCCTCGATTCCCAGCTAGTGACACCAGAAACTTCTGTTGCCCGAATATCAGAACAGGCGCATTTCTAGAAACCCAAAAAGAGATGAGACCTCTCTTCCGTGATCAAAGCACACCTGGTGACACGGGTGGAAGCTCAAACAGCAAGAAAAGCATGTGATTCAACGTAAGGTGACTTGTAGGGAATCGCATTACCATCGTAATTGTCAGGAACATCAGTTGAACTCGCCATCTTCGATCCCATGGATGCGGCTAGTCAGGCTTACGCAGAAGATCCTGGACATCCCCTACGCTGATGGTGTGCGTCGGAGACGCTTGAGGTGATCAAGGCAGCTTCAGCCTTAACTCTGACTGGCAGCCAGCATACATTTACCGCCTATGGATATCATATCTTTGACGGACGGCCCCGGTCCACAGCTCGTATTTCCAGGACCCTGCTCCATAAAGGTGGCCCATTTTGGAGCAAAATCTTAATGTCCCACTATGCTGGATCGTGCCTTCATCACCATTCATCCCCAGCTGTTGAGAAAAATGAAGCATGGTCGCAACAACAGTCGCTACACAGGCAACACCAAACGTCCTACCACCCAATCGGCAGAGTATCCAAATTTCTAAGTGCGCCTCTCTATGGCTTTCGCTTGTGACCACAGCCCTGACTAAGTTCAGACGGAAGGCTTACAAGACAGCTGCTCCAGATGATTTGAGCACGGTCGGGGCGCGTATCCTCCATCTGAGTCCACTATCTCTAACGCACGGGGAAGAATTGGAACCCGGAAGCGACAAACAGTAGACATTACTCCTAAGACTGACTAAGTCCTAGAAGTCGTGCGAGATGGTTTCTGGAAATACCGTCGAGGCTGCCTAAAGAACACCTCTTGCAGACTCCTTTTCAAGCATAAGTTCAGAGTGAGTGCTCAGCATTCGAACAACTTTTTCAAGAGTCATACGGAGTAGACAGTCTCGTGGTTCTGCATCCGTGCATGCCTGCAGCTACTGTAGACCCTAGAGGCATCTGGCGACTTAAAGTCAGGTGACCTGATCCGTTAACATTTAGGCCATAATTCTACCTGCTCTTCATCCATCCCTTTCGTTCCTCCGCGATCATCTCCTTGAACACTTGCGCTCAATACGCGTTGAGGTCAAACCGGAAAGGCACTCGTACATGCGATTGGTTCCTCAATACTGTCTCCTTTCGTCCTGTCACCATTACAATTTATCATCCTCACATTATTTGTCCTCTAAGTCCAGAGAATATACACTATGAACCGGCTGCGGCTGCGCACTGTAACAAGACTCACGAAAGCAACGAAAGCCGGCGGTCTTTATTGCAGCCAAAACATTCCTACCCCAGACACATTCCCGTCGTAATGTGGGCTCCTCCGGAACTCCCATACTATGTCGCATCCGATCGACTACCAGCCCCAGTTCCTACTACGCGAGAGATGCGAGCGTCCAGCACTGTATTGCACCAGCGCTCTGCCCAGACTGTCAAGGCTTTGGGTATGCACTATGTTGTCAAATATGGGCCAGGTGCGAAGATCCTAGAAGGACACAATCTACTTTTTCTACATCAACACCTGCCTTCCGCTCCTGTTCCACGGCTGTGGGCAATGTATCAAGAAGACGAGGACGTCGTCTTCATCATGGAGCGCTGTGAAGGCAACAACCTGCAAGATATCTGACCATCACTACAAGACTCAGACAAAAGCACCATAACGAAACAGCTTCGAACCATATTGGATCAGTTGCGGGCAAGAAAACCGCCAGAACCGTCGTTTAATGGTAGCTTGGAGCGTGGCCCTCTCCAATACTTTTTATTCAATCAGTGGAGTCTAATCCTGCAATCAACGGACCGTTTGTCAATGAGTATGATCTTATTCAAGCTCTCGTCTCGAATCTGAGGACCATCGATGAGCTCAATCAACGAGACAATTACGAAACGGATTTCTATGAGCAGAATCTGCCATCCTGCTTCCGCCTTGGGAGACCAACGCTAACTCATTGCGATATCCAGAGAAAGAATATAATGCTTCAGCGAGCTAGCCCCGATGATGGGAGTGAAGCCTCTTTCAAGCTTATGATTATCGACTGGGAGGACTCTGGTTGGTATCCTGCGTCCTGGGAATTCTTCGTTACATTCACCTCCCTTCGCTGGAATGATGATCGGGCTTCGAGACTTGAGCATTTCCTTACGCCTTTCCCAACCGAGACTGCCGCACTAAGCATGATATACCACGAGCTATTCTTCTAGAGTCGGCTCAACCCTTGTTCGGCTTTGCTAGCAGGACGTATTATCTCTCCTTCCATGGGACCCCCTTCCTCTCTCGTAAATGTATAGATCCCTTGTGTCGTAATGCCTTGCACTACGAAAGCAATCCGGAGCGACGCAAAGCTGGAATGACCTGTTCCTCTGTCCATTCGTTGGTTTGATCAATCTAGGTCGAGGACCCCCAGGGCTGTAGAACGTCCCGTCAAGCTTGACCGGCTCGGTCTTCATTGTTTTGGGATTGAATGCTTTTTGTCGCGGTGGTCCTGGCTGATCTTGGCGAATGGAACGCAGTATAGAACGCCGCACTTGAGGTACAACACCAAATTAGTTGGACCCGTGCAAGTCTGATGAGGCAATATCATATAGACTTCGTTGGACAACTCCGTAAAATCAGTCTGGCTAGAGAGGAATAGCAAGAGGAATAATAGCTATAGAACTATAGGATTAACCTTACCCCTCTAAAGTATAAGGAGAACGCGAAGCACTAGAGCGTAGCAGGTGTGCGGGAGCATTAAGTTTTAATTAAGGGGGAAACATAAAGATATTAGTAAGTCATTAAGACCTTTAGTAAGAAGGAGTTGAGATTTCAAGCTCCCGAGCAAAGCGAGGGTCAAGAGCTCGTATTGTATGCTATTTTTGCCATATTGAGCACCGAAGCTGTACTAACCACATACGATTGGCTGGCGCCTGAAAGACCAAGACCCGAGCCCGAAGCCAGCATCATCCCTCCGCACCTCCTTGGCATAGCTGGCCGCTATATGTGGCCGTATTAAGATGGCGTCTCTCAGCTGCCGCGGCTATCTTTTGGAACTTGAATGTGTCTCTTGATTCCCCCGACCCAGGCTGTCAGCTCCCATCCTGTTTGGTGGGTCAGCGCATATTTAACAAGATTTCAAGCTGTGCAAGTGACGCCGAATCGAATCTACTAAGCGATGCTCCCAGCCTCGAAGGATGCACTGCAAGAGAAATTCGTGTTTGTTGGAGGGCCGACTCTGGACGCAAAGTCAAGTAATGTGCGATCGGTCTTGCTACGTCGGGTACTGCGCGAGAGGCGAGCAAAAAGACAAAAGAATGCCGCGGAAATACTAGAATCGAAGTTGAGCAAGCGGTCAACTGCTCAGTCCTCCTGCGCTGTAGATGCAAATCAAGACGCTCAACTGGAGGCCACGGGATACCCTCTGATACGGCCCAGAAAGACCCAGGGTACCCAGACTGTCTGTTTCCATGGCTCGCAGAATCGAAGTTCGAAATGCGGAGGGCTCCTCGCTGATAATCAGCGATACCTACCAGACCCTCATCTTTTCGGAGCAGGACGCCGTGACCCGCTCCTGCCCGTGGATGCCCGGGCGGCACGCCTGAAAATACACGAGCTTCTCGATTTCACGACCACGACCATCTGGGCTCGCTTTCGTCAGCTGGACTACCCTGGAAACTGTTATCGAGCGTGGGTGTTGCCGTTCGATAACGATCTGCAATTGTATTCCGTCCTGTGGTCCTCCTCGTATCATCGCGATATACTGCGCGTCACCAACGGCGCCATTGTGCCCAAGCTAGACTCTCAGGAGCAGCTTGAGCTCCGACTCTTAGCGCTGCGGGCCTTGCAGCGGGAGATTGCCAATGTTTCGGACACGACGTCTCCAGATTCCTTGGTGATGTGCATGCTCTTCCTGGCTGTGAATGACGAACGCAACACTCGAATCTTCCGAGACCTCAGCCCATTCTCCCCTCCCTTTGTCAGCCTGCAGCTCTTGGACTTTTACGGGAGCCGGGACTACCACCCACTCCATTGGAACATGCTGCACGACACCGTGCGCCGATTCGGCGGGATCGAGAGCCTGCAGACGTTTGCGCTACCCTGGCTGCTCACCCTGGCCGCCCTCATGAGGTCAGCCCAGACCCTGGCTAGACCGATCTACCCGATCGTGGGGGTTGCTGGGAAGCCGTTGGACCTGCAGTCTCCGAGTTTCTTATTTCAGCCACGCGGATATAGCGATCCATTCAAGAAAGTGGGCTCTGGGTTCCACGAGCTTCTTACCATGTGGCCACCCGTAAGGCAAGAAGTTGTTCAGGTGCTGATCGACCTGGGGCAATACTCTCGAGTGGTCCAATACTACTCGGCCGTGATATGTAGCCCTGATGTCTTGGATCTACTTGGTGATTGCAGGAATGCAGTCCACCACCGGCTGCTTTCCTTGCCAAAGGAAGAGGACTTGACTGAGTCTTATCTGCAATATACCGAACAAGACGATGCAGAGAACGAGCTATCGCGGGAAATCTACCTCACGTGTCGTCTGGCTGCGGTCCTGTATGCGCTACATGTTACTTTTCCGCTTCCACGAACCCAGCAGATTAGGGAACTCACTCTTGATGCTCTGGAGGCCCGAATCGCCCGGTTATGCGCACTGAATTCTTCCGGCCCGGTAGTTCTTTGGTGCGCAGCTGTTGCAATCAGCATGTTGGGGGACGACCCACCCAACCGATTGATTGCGTACATGGCCCACCTGATTGCAGATACAGGCGTGGACACGCTGGACAAGTTAATCGACATGCTCCAAACTTTCGCGTGGGTGGATGCGGCTGTACAGGATTCCTGGAAAGGAATGTGGACAAGAAGATTCTTCTCTTCACAGCCTGCCACTCACATATGAAATATAGAAATAATCCCCACATTGGATCTGAACAACATGTACTTGGTTGGGGTAGTGTCGTGCAACACGCAGGAATAGATAATGTTTGAGAGCTAAATGAGATGTATTGACGAGTCTGACCTCGAGGACTAGGAAGCGACGTCTATCTATTATATAGGCAAAAAGAGCCGTCCGATTGAAGCCTTTCTCGCCGTCGCACAGAATGCCGCAAGGAATGTCTCACTGCGGCCCCTACTTAGCTGAGCCATGAAGGCAATAGTCGTCAACAGTCCTCGATAGACAGTCAACAATGTAGCCAAATGAGCGACTAGACACCATATATGGAGCGGACAATAACTTATTCGGAGACATGCGGGGGTACATGAATTTGTTAGCAACTTGCACACAAATGCCTGGACCATTATATATAATTGCCATATTGACTCCATCTCATCGTCACCGACTCAATAGATCTTTTGTATAGACATTCTTGGTGTTTATAACTCCATTAGTCACTTCACTATGTCGTCTGTCTCGCCTATTGGCTGGCGCGCGCCTCAAGGCTGCCCGGAACACCTCCGCTCTATTCTAGAGACCGCCGTTAATGGCTATCCCTCCGAGTGGCTTGTAGAGCCTCATGATGGAGAAACTTTCTCCTCGATGGAGGAGGCGGCGGAGAGTCTCCGCGTCTGCTCACTATCTCAAGGATTTGATATTGTTGTTGCCAGCTCGACGATCAATAAATCGCAGTGAACGACTCTCCTTGCTTGCGTTCATCATGGACAGGAGACAAAGAATTGGCGGCATCTTCCTCCATTAGCTGTTCGCGATGAGTATGGAAAGATTGTCGCGACTCCATGCGACGTCGAGATCGAACACAAGTGAGACAGACTCAAGGTCCATGGGCTTGCCGAGTGTCATATAAAACACTAGGAAAGCGAGGATCTGGGCATAAAGCCTATACCCTTACTGTCAAGTCAATATCTCATGATGAAAGTCATCCATTGCCGACGAACCTTTTGATATATAAACGTCACCGCGAGAACCTCGAGAGTTATCAACAACTCGTCTCGCAAGCAAGGGCCCATCGACTCTCTGTTCTTCATATTCCTTGAGTCGACGAGTACTTGGCGCTGTCGATGGATCTGGTCTCGCTTTAACTAGACGTGAGTACTATAATCTGAAGAGGCATGAATGCCTCACAGCTAAGAATAACAAGACAATTAACGGCTTGTTGTTTGCCCTTGACGCCGTCGGGTTTATATATCGCTGTCGGGTAGAGGATGAGTTCGATAATGGAGACTCACTCACTAGTCGAAAACTTATACAGATTTGGTTCTCGCATCCGCGTCTTATAGAACTGAGCTCTTCTTTCACCGCAGGCTCCGTCTGTATCATTGATGCAACGTTCAATACAATTAAGGCGAGGTTGCCCTTTATCGTCGCAGTTGGAGTCTTAAACAATGGAAAAACCTTTCCGATTGCGTCTCATATACTCGCGCCGAGGATCACATCTTGTATAGCTTTTTTGGGAGTCACTGAAGGAGCATTGGCCGGATAACATTGCTCCGCCATCTGTGACTGTTAGCGATCAAGCCCCAGCTATCATTTCATCAATTAAAGAACAATTACCTGGCACGAGGCATCAAATCTGTCAATGGCACGCGGCGGAGGCTATCTGCGCCAAGTTCCGGCACTATCACACCAAGGGAAAGATTGATGGAGACGAAAGCCATCACAGGAGCCTCAGGGACTATACCTGGGCATACATTAACTCAGAGAATGAGGAGGCTCTTGTTGAGAATCGCAGAACGCTTTGCGAGCGACTTAGCCCCGCGGCAAGACGATGTATTGGAGAGGTCCGGGTATCAAAGGAGGAGCGGGTTCGTAAGACGTTCACGTCCATTTTCTTCAACCTAGGCTATTTTAGTCAGCGCTCCGAATCATACATGTTGTCCTCAAAAAGATGACCAATGGCCAGCTAAATCTTGAGGCCTCCGTCAACGCACTTGCTCAAACAATAACTCAACTTATTCGGGATATAGAATAGAAAAAGAACGATAACATGAAGTCATATTCGAGATTGGCGCAGTCAACAACATTCAAGAATCTGCGGATAACAATTAGCAACTTTGCGTTGACAAGGATTGCGCTTGAATGGGATGATCTCTATCATAAATAGACAATGGTGGGAAGAATTTGAAGTGCAAATAGATTAACTTATATGGAGTTACAGTCCAACCCGAGTGCATCATGTTTTCTCCGAACCCTGAATATTGTGCCAAGTACTGTGTCCCAATACGTACGGCTCTGTCACTCTTGTGATCGACTAAGCCAAATATGGGAAGATGTTTCTAGGACGGTAATTGGACGGGGTGTTGATGCATTGGGCTTGGCATCGCTTGGCAATGAAGAGAATGGAAGTTGTTGGGATTCATCGCAACGAAATATGAGAAAAAAGTGCATCCCCGTCTACTCAGGTGAAGATTGCTCGAGGCTTGAGCGAATCACACCTCCAGGGCGGGCTGTCGCTGGCGGTGACGCGATGATGCTGAAAGATGACCAAGGTCTTTCTAATCACCATCAGAACCCCATATATAGAGGCCCCCAGGGCCCAGGCTAGAATCAATTTGTTACTTGTCAATAGTAGCGAAATTTGAACTTGAACATACACGTGGATCCAATCACTCACTTGCCTTGAGCACTCTACACAGCGATCTCATCCCTATAACATCAAAACGAATTGATGCGTTCGAGATTCTCGCACGCGAGCCTCTGGCACTCGGGCAGCGTTACCCTCCCCGAAAAGAGCCTTGTCATCCCGTTCGCCGGGCGCGTCGGAGCGAACCAGGAATTTGCACTTGGGGAAAAAAACAGCCGCGCGCGCGCAGAAATCTTGCAAAAATTCCCGGATGCCGCCCCCTGGATTCCAGTCCGCGATGCCCTATCACTAAACGGGTTTCTCCAGATCGAGCTGTGGAAGGCGGCGGCGATGGAGGCCATCGCGAGTTGCTTGCTCATCTATCTAACATGTTTTGCGGCTATTGGGTTAGGACAGGTGGCTCCGTAAGCACCATACTTCCTACTACTGCCTTCCTCCGGTCAAAACACAGAAAGATAACAGATTACAGTGCTTTTTCTTCCGGCCCTGTAGTTCCAGGACTGATCGGGGGCCTCACAGCACTGGTGGCCCTCCCTCTCTTTATCTACTCTGCGGGCCCAGTCTCCGGTGCACATATTAACCCTACGATTACCATTACAACATTCTTCAGCCGACTCTGCTCGCTACCACGCGCAGTCCTCTACATATCCTTCCAAACACTCGGAGGTACAATCGCTGGCTTCCTTTTACGAGCTAGTATGGACACGAGATCTGTACGTGTCATGTCACACCACCACACCACACCCCCTAGCGGAAGGAAGAGAGAAAATTCCCTCTAACATGATATCTATAGTTTATCGTCCCCGGCTGCTACATTGATACGTCGATGATCTCCCTCAGCAGCGCATTCACAATCGAAGTGACAACCAACTTCGCCATGGTCTTTCTCTCCTTCGGGGTTGGTCTCGACCCTCGGCAGCGCGAAGTCTTTGGCCCGGCTCTCGGCCCGATCTTCGTCGGCCTCATCGTCGGCATGTGCTCGTTCTTCACCGGCGTCAGCCGTGACGGATACACGGGATTCTGTATGTACGCCCCTTTCCTTCCTCTCTCCCTCCTTCCCTCCCTTCCTTCCTTCATATTCCATCCATACCTCCAGACCAGCAGCCGCGCGGCGTGTGGTGTGGTTGGATGGTCTATCTGTCTCGCCCACCCATTGCTAATCATCGTGAATTGATATTAATATAGCCGGGAATCCAGCCCGATGCTTTGGCGCGATGGTCGGTTCCCATTTCAGCTCCTACCACTGGATCCACTGGATCGGGCCGCTGACGGCGGCCATTTTGCACGGGGTGCTGTATTTCCTCGTGCCGCCCTTTTCAAGGGAGGAGGTTGTTACTGCGCGGAAGATTGATGAGAGCGATGAGTCTTAGCTTTGTTATTGTTCGTTGTTCATCAGGTAGTCTGGTCTAGTCTCGTTGGGGAGTATTTGGATTATATATTTGGCATTATTGATACCGTGATACAAGGCGTACGGGAAAAAACAAAGTATTTGGTCGCAAATTCCGGTACCAAACTCCCAAGAATCAAGCTGAGCAAGATCTTTCTTATCCAAGTCTGCAAATCAGACATGGTCACGTCAAAGGCTAAAACTTGGCTATGTAGATATAGGAGACACTTGCAAAATTGACCAGCCGCCGAATGCAACACCCAGGTTGTCGCGTGGGACCGCTATAGCCCCCATTCTCCAGCGCGAAGCTAGCTTCCTCATCAGCGGAGAACCATGCATTGCTAGCATCATTCCATGATTGTTCTGGATCGGTGGGTCTTGCAGCCACGGGTGGAATTCGCAAGCATGATCTGCGCGCAATGTCACCTTTCATAAAGCGTGTGACTGGGTATTCTAGTTGCTCAAAATGTGGTTTATATATCCTTTCCCAATCCGTGACTGTATCGATCACGGAAGTCACCGCTCTCTGCGGATATGTTTTACAGTAACTGTCGAATTCTTGGGTGCGATAGAAGAGGAATTTGCTGATGCCCGCTTGTCGCATCAGCGATATCAACTCGTGGTCAACTTCGTTAACAATCCTATACCTGCGTTTAGGATACCTGAACAATTAAGTTCGCTTCGTTCTACCTGCTCCGCCTCTTAATACTCGCTCTATCAAGGAACCACCTTGGTCAGACACTGTTCGCAGTTCAGACCATAACATATATTAGTTCTACATATACCTTTGTTTGCTGGGCATTGGAACATATAGAGGCTTTAATACGTATAGGTAGCTTCTTATTCCTCCGCTTAAGATGAGTTTTTTTGCTAATCTATCTACTAGACTGTTTTCAATGACGAATTTGTCCTACCTTTTTTCAGTACTTAAGAAGAGAAGAAAATCAACAGAGAGATTTTAGTTATCTGAAATGCCTAAGCCCAGTAGATAAGGGCTATTAGCATACTGGTCCTTCAGACTGGCCTCTCACCACTCAATGAGCTGGCCATCGAAATTGAGAAACTGCCCCGAATACTTCTCCCGAGTCGCATTATCCACCTTGGCAACAACAGTTAGCCCACTGCTGACGACTGCGACATAGCATCGATAAAGGGGTAGACCGCTGGGAAAATGCTTACCAGCCCGATAATGCTCTTAATATTAGTGTTGATGTCCGAAAAGGGCGGGTTCTCAAAGCCGAAAAATGCGGCACTCTTGCGTCCCATGTCGGTCTCAAAGAACCTATGCAAGACAAACACACCCAATTAGTTATCAGCAGGCTCATAGTAACGGCCTTCATCTGTCTAATTGGCGCAGGTACGTACCCAGGAGAAACGGCAAAGGCGATAATTTTAGGACTCTCAACGTGGATGGTCTTGGTGAAGTGGTTCAACGCCGCCTTGGACCCGTTGTACGGGAACCCCGGGAACATGGGGTACTTGTGCAGATCGTGGAGCGACGCGAGACCGGAGCTTATGGCTAACCACTTGGGCGTCTCGGCCCTGTCGAGGAGCGGCTTCAGCGCCAGGAAGAGCACGGCCGGGCCAACGGCATTGACCAGGTAGACCTCTGCGAGGCCCTTGGGGTCGATGGTCTCAATACGCCCTTGCTGGCCAGCGATGCCGGCGTTGGCGATGACGATGTCGAGCTTGGTGATACCCTGTGCCTCGAGCTCCTTGACAGCGTCCACGGCGTCCGTCGTCGAGGTGTACTCAACCTTGACCAATACGACCTTGCTGCCCTCGGCCGCGGGCAGCGCTCGCAGCTCCTCAGCGGCAGCGCTCTTGACGTCGCGGACCGTACCGATGACAGTGTGGTTTGGCCGGGCGAGATACTGTTCGACGAAAGCCTTTCCGAGTCCTGCCAAAATTATGTCAGGATGAAAAGACGTCAGAGGAATAACCCTAGCAGTATAATGCATACCTCGGCTGGCACCGGAGATGAGGACGTTGGTGGTGGAAGCCATGGCAGAAGCGATGTCGAGGATAAGAGATGGGAGATGTGTGTCGGTAGCAACTTTGAAGAATCTGGTGGCTTAGCGACTCGTTCTTGAGTATCTAGTAGAGAGGCACGTTTGTTCCCATGAAGGCTGTTGTGATTGTTTGATATAGGAGAAGAAGATTCGCCCACAACACATGCTATCCTTATATATTTGTAGGCCTTTGGGCGATGGCCACATAATATTATTTATTTAGTTTATATACTTGCACTGTTCCTATGTTCGCCTTGCATTTGTCGATGTTTGTCGGGGCGATTTGTAAAGTCTACTGACAAATCTATCAGAATAACTACACTGTTACTAATTATTTGTTAATCATTATGCATGAAAAGCGGCACCCAATTACGGTGAACATTATTGCAAGATCCGCTATAGATCATCAACACCCTCAACAATACAGCCTCAGATACCCCCTACCTTTACGATGCCGCCACGCAACCAAATCGAAGCTTTCCGCGACATCATTACTAGTCGCCGATTAGCCGGCGAGTGGCTCATTAACTACATACCTTTTTGAACGAAACGCCCATGGGACTTCGTAAGTCAGACCACCCATCCTTCGGCCACCTTCCAAGATGTCGCAGTGCCACGAAAAAAGCACATAATTTTACCCAAAACAAAGGGATTTACTCCAACAAACCATGCTTCATCTTTTCAATCTCGCTGGCTTTCGCTTTCTTCACCTCATTCACCATTTCACCGAACCCCCAAACGAATCAAGTTTCAGTGATCTCACAAAACACCAGCTTGGCGTTGTTGTGATACGAGGCTCAATCAACTGTCGTGACATTGATGAAAGCCCTATGGAATCATTCCGCGTGCTTGGAAATCGTTAGGAAGCTTCTAGAGTATTATTCTCACTGTATTTATACTCTCTACATTCTTAGAGATAGAAAGATAACAAGAATAACATATGCTTCTACAGCCGTAATTCACAACAGGCGCTAACTAAGAAGATGTGATAAATCAGTGGGTTGCAGTCTCACGCAGCTCGATCGCGCCGTATGTGGGCTCGTAGTAGGCTGCTAGCTTACACGCTGGTCCTGCAGGACTAGCTCAAATATTCATCTATTGAGTCGAGAGAGGCTGCTTACATGTAAGTATGGATGTAACCCCAAAGCCTATACCAGCGCTGCATCTTACCTATTCCGCCACCGCCCACCACACAACAAAGGCCGGACCCACCTGTGATGAGTGACAACCATAACAAAGCCTACAGCAATCCTGACAGAGAGCAATCTAATTGTTTCCCTTTTATTACGTTAGATCATGCTCATGATTCATATGCAGCCTCCGTGCATGGAACCTTGTAAGAATTCACTCCGATGCCTGCATATACAAGGAGATAGAGTGGGGGACTGATTGTGAGGATATTGGAGTTCAGAGACCAATAGGGATTTAAGACTTATTCCCCGCATGTCCAGATTCTTCTCCTGCCTGTGACATAAAATATGTTATGCCCTTGACCTTTACCGCATATGGATTGGCTTGAAACCTGACATTGTCATCTATCTACCTTATTTTGGACCACCTTTTACGTTGCTTACAAACATCTCCATAAGTGAACAAGATGCCTGCGGAACGTCGCTGAGATCAACAGGAGTACCGTATCGTTGAGTCTGCCTCTCACAATAATAATGCCCGTATGGTTATTATTGAAACGACCACCCCCGGCATCTCCGTTCCTCCTCCTCAGCCTCCCTCTTCTTGTTTTAACTTTTTTTGCGATCCTCACGAGATGGTAGCATTTAAGGCTCGCATCGTCCTAACCCGTGAAACACTGCTCCGTCATTCGGAAGACGGGGCAGGGATCCCGAGAGCGTTGAAGCTTCTCCTCCCGGAGAGCCTTACTCCGGATACCATGTTACCAATACCGGAGAACGCTCCGGCTTATGAGGGCAGTGACAATGCCCCATTGGATGGTCAGGTGAATTGATCCAAAAGAAAAGTTTCGAGATGGGTGCAGACGGGCTTCCTGGTGTGCAACAAAACTTGGCTGTCCAGCATATGTGTTAACACATCTGCACCCTATGGGGAATTATATCCACGAGTTTGAAAAAGAATATCTAGGATACATGCAATAATGGGTTTAGAATCGAACAGCACAGAAGTCATTAAAGTGCCTGTGGCGGTGATAGGAGGTGGTGGTTCGTCGACATTCGTCCCAGAGCAACCACTTTGCGCTGCCGTTCACGAGCCAAGCTGACAACTTGAATAGGCTGTGGATTAAACCTTTCAATATTCTTGTCCGATCGAAAAGTCCCCCATGTCCTGTTTGAGAAGCACAATGGGACGTCCGTTCTTCCCAGAGCCCACTATCTCAATCAGAGATCCCTCGAAACCTTCCGACTGCACGGTTACGTCGACGAGATCAGAGCGCAAGGGACGCCGATACGAAACATGTGTCAAACTACGTACGCAACATCGCTAGGAGGCGATGGTCCCTATGATAGGAAAGTGTTGTATACGACTTCCGCATTTGGAGGCGATGAAGGTTCAGAAATGCTGCGTAAATTCATGTACGTCGTGGCCGCCAACAATGAGATCTGTACACTAAACCGTTTAGGCATGTTGCGCCCGAAAGACCTACAAACCTGCCTTTATCTAGATCAGAGCCCATTTGGAGAGCTGTGGCCGAAAGTCGAAATCCAGGTAATATCAAGTTTTCGCACCGGGTCGTCGATTTTACCCAGAAGGGTGACTGTGTTGATCTTCGAGTCGAAGGGCCGAATGGTCCCCAAGTCTACCAAGTTCAGTACCTTGTTGCTGCTGAAGGCGGCGGTGGAATCGTGCGCTCCAAGCTCGGTATCCAGATGCAAGGTCCAAAAAACATTGCCAACGTTGTGTCAGTTCATTTCAAAGCTGATCTATCGAATTACTGGGACGATAGAACGCTGATAGCTGCTTTCATCAACCCTGAAGGAGAGACGCTCCTTGGTAGTGGTAGCTTGATACAGCTGGGTCCAACTTGGGGCAGATACTCAGAGGAATGGGGTCTGCATTTTGAAGGCCTCCCTGCTGACAATCCCAATCGATCTCGCGAGGATGAGCCGGAGATCTTGAAAGCGCGGATCCGCTCTCTTCTCAAGATCCATAACATTGACATTGAGATCCTGAATGTCAGTCACTGGGTGATTGAGCGGGTTTTGGCCGAGAGATATCAAGATGGGCGGATCTTCCTTGTTGGTGATGCAGCCCATCGAAGTGAGTTCACGACGCCTATACCTGTCGGCATCGATTCTGATATTTATAGGGCCTCCGACCACTGGACTTGGTCTCAATGGTTCAATCGAAGATGCCAATAATATTGCGTGGAAGTTGGCGCAAGTTATCCATGGCAAGGCTTCGCCAAAACTATTGGAGACCTACGAACAAGAACGTCGGCTCATCGGGAAACGCAATTGCGACTGGGGGTAACCATCTCTCAGTGGAAAGATATGCAGTGAGTCCGCTGACACTCGAACAGATTGATGACCTTCGCCAATACCAGCGTGTTGAATGCGGCACTGGGATTTGTCCCGGGGCAGAAAGCTACAAATATGGCACGGCTTGCAGCGCTGCTGGAAGAGTCAGATATTGGGGCAACGTATCGATCTCAACTGCAACACATCTTCTCGGCCCAGGTCACTGAATATTCAGCCCTAGACCTGGAACTTGGGTTCAGTTACTGGCAAGGAGGAGCCTTTCTTCCCGACGGGACGGAAAGACCGGCCATTGATCCGCTTGGACAGTCTTACATCCAGACTTCAAGACCTGGTCATAGGCTGCCTCACATTTGGCTGGAAATCGACGGAGATCGATCTCAAAAGCCGCTGTCGACACACGATTTGATGAACAATGACTACGACTACCTCCTAATCACGGATCAATACGGGACTTCATGGATCGAAGCAGTCCAAAAGTCCGCCAAACTTCTCCGCCTCACCATCGGAGTTGCGCAGATTGGACCTCTCGCGGCGGGACTCCGCCCTTGTAAATACATCGATCGAGGGGATCGGTGGGCAACTGAGTCCGGCCTGCGGAAAGGCGGTGCAATTCTTGTTCGTCCAGACAACTTTGTCGCCTGGCGGCAATGCGACGGCAGCTTGAATGGAGGCAAAGAGCTCGCTACTGCTCTAGAAACGCTCGTTGGGGACTGCGTTGGTCACGATATCCCGTTCAATCCATATACGACGAACGGGTTCTACGAACAGCACAAGACTTCCCATGTAAACGGATTCCACACGAGGAATTGTTGAGAGGGGTGGAAAAAATAGTAATGACATCAAGTGCGGTAGGAAGCAACTGACAACGAAATTCGTTCATTTTTGCCCCGTGAGCTTCCCATACACGTCTCCTCGTTGATTCTTGAATCTGTGAGCATCCTAAAAGGCACTTGGACCCTCGTGTTTGATATACTTGTTCCCGTCGATCACGACATAATCAACTCCCACCAGGCATATCATCTTACTGTTGTCGCCCACAGCCTCCTCGTCTGGTCGAATCTTTTCCATATATTCCGGATCTGCAAAGAAGGCGAGCATATCTTCATAACTGGGCGCTCAAAATCAGCCAAAAACCAATTCACACAGTGCTCTGGGCAAGCGGCCTTGATCTACCGGTGCACAAGGAATTCGGCGATTCCATCATATGGAGATTTGCTACCAATGGCTGCCACAAGCGCCTTGTGCTCTGGGGTAATATGATACTAGCAAATTTTAGCTCAGTGCCTCAGTCATTGTGTCTCCGACGAAAAGCCTAAAAGGAACATACTTGCGTATACTTGACGATCCCGTGACGGATTAACAGTTCTTGCACCAACGGTGCATGCTTGTTGGCCCAGTGCTTGTGAAATTGGTCGTCCGAAACCCCCTCCTTCTTGGTTACCAGCACCGAAATGCGAGTAACCTTTTGCAATGACATGACTTGGTTGACTCACGAGACTGCCAAAGACTGTAAACGACAGTGTGACCTTCGGTACATATGCATCTGGCGCGGGAGAGTACAGAACTGATGATTCGGCAAAAGAGTGGGAGGGAAAGACTGTTCCGTCTCTTGGCCCATCAACCTTGCCTCGGAGGTGTCCGAGAACTCTAATCTCTCTAACTCCCCAGGCTCCGGAGAGACCTTCACCCCAGACACGGAGGGCGAAGCTGGAGTTGATGGTGAATGTGGAGAAGGTCCGCGGGGTGAGTCCGGTGTCGATCGGCCAGTGCCACAATCCTTGCTGCTCCTGGAGGCTGGCTGTCTTGATAGCCATGCTCAGGATTACAAAGGGGGAGACTCTTGTCCAGAGATGCAATGCTTTTCCTCCCCAAAAGACAACATGGAGACTGCAAAGCACTCCCACTCAGAAGCCAGAATGATCGAAAACATCAATGTCGAAGAGAAGGGTTATGCTACTGTAGTTCCCAGCCCACAGCAGCCTCGCGATGTTACCGACCGGGGCGCCGAAGCAGTCTTGCTTTCAATCGAAGGAGCAGACGCGGACGTGGCGAGCACCTTGAAGCTTGCAAAGGACGGACATGTAAGTCCTCTCTGGTTACTTTGGCTTCTCCTTGGTACTATATGTACTACCCTTGTCTCTTCGCTCCGCCACTATGACTCTCATATTGATCTCGTTGGCAGACCGTCCTTGTGCCACAACCAAGCGATGATCCTGAGGACCCTCTGAACTGGTCGTGGTTTAGAAAGCACGCCTTTCTCATCACTACAGCCATTTGTACGTCGTCCTGCGACTTCGGTATCACGCTCGGGGTCCCTGCCGTGATCAAGCAGGCTGAGTTCTGGAACACAACTCCCGATCTTATGAATCATCCTACCAGTTTGTGTGTGGCAATGAGGTAAGTCCAGCGACTGGAGCCAAAGACTTCAATGCACACATATCCATGCTCAAGCTTAGAACGTATGGCTTACCGATCTATGCAGCGGTATTGGGGGGCTACTCGTGATCCCGCCCTCTTATTACTGGGGTCGTGCTCCGGTGCTGTTTTGGACAACCCTCATTGCTACAGCACTGACTCTCGGTATCGCCCTGACCGACGACTACGTGACATTCTACGCGTTACGTGCTCTCCAAGGAGCCTTCATCACGACTTGTAACATTGCGGTCTTATGTTACATCAAGGATATCTTCTTCTACCACGAACATGCGCGCAAGATCGGCATTTGGTTTCTCCTATACTTCACGGCGCCATCACTAGGCCCCATGTGCGGCAGCTTTATGCTTGCATACACTCCAGGCTGGAAGAGCCCCTTTTGGCTGTCATTTGCGTACAACTCTGTCGCCTTCATTCTTATCTGCCTCTTTGTCGACGAGACATGGTACAGACGCGACATTCCGGCGGTGAATCAGCCATCCAGAGGCAGTCGCGTCTTTAGGCTTCTTGGTTCGTGGCAGATCAAGCATCACCATGGCTACTTCCTACCGGTTTTACAGGCATACAGCCGGATGATCATCGTTGTTTCCAAGCCGGTGATTCTGCTTTCCATTTTCTACTAGTGAGTTGTTTCATCCAAATCCACCTCAGAGCTTCGCGACCGTGTCGACCGGTGACCAGTGACGGCTCTTTTCTATTTTCTTACACTCTAACCTTGCTGACTCTTGTGTATAGTGGTATCACAATTATGTGGGGAGTCGGCATCAACAACGGATCCGCCGTCCTTCTCTCTACACCACCGGAGCAAGGAGGATATGGCTTTGGTGTCAAGGGACTAGGTTTCATCTACTTGTATGTGCTCCGACTTCCATGACTCCGCTTTTGTGATGCTGCTAACCGTACTCACCCGCTTAGCGCCCCGACCGTTGGCGTCATTCTAGGCGAATTCGCAGGTCATTTTCTCAACGATTGGTTTGCAAACCGATATACACATAAACACAAAGGCATTTTCCGCCCCGAGGGCCGTCTGCCGGTCAATTTCCTCGCCGTCCTCTTTCTGGTTCCGGGCCTCGTGCTTGTGGGCCAGACACTCCACCACCGCCTCCATTGGGCTGGAATTGTTTTTGGCTGGGGCACCTACAACTTTGGAATCATCCTTGCCAGCGTCTCGATTTCGGCATATACTTTGGATTGTTACCCTAGTGGCGCTGGGGAAGTGTCAGCGTGGCTCAATCTCTTTCGTACAGGATGTGGCATGGCCGTACCCTATTTCCAACTCACCTGGGGTATGGAAAGGGGCTTCGGGGAGACGTTTGGCATTCAGGCCGCCATTGTTGTCTGTGCTTTGTTTCTACTTCTCCCCCTTGTTTTCTATGGAGAGAGATTGCGCGTTAATTTTGGAGCGTTGAAGCTACCTGGGTCCCAACAACTGAGTAGGCCACCGGGATGATAGGCGCCCGTTTGACGCGCACTTTGCGGTTAGGTACAGTTGGATCAAGGGCAGGGCGATGTACGCCGTAAGGGGCTCATGCCAGCTAGGAGGTGCAACTATGCTGGGCGAAGAGGCGCTAACTCTGAAGAGATAATGCTTTGAGCTCAAGCGACGCTTGTCAGCCTCTCCGGAAGGATGTAGTACAGCTAGAGGAATGAAACGGCTGAGGTGGCTATCTTCAATCTTGAGGGTATATTTCAGCTTCACCAATCTAGTTTTATGCATAGACAAAGTCATCTTGGTACCGATTTAAGGTACTCTGATCTATGAGACTATGTAGAACTCACAACTACTTATTGGTACGTTTGCAGATCCCCATGCCCTCATATGGCCAGATAACCTCCGTCAACCGGCATAGAGATGCCAGTGACAAAACTAGCCTTGCTGCTGCAGAGGAAAACGCAGGCGTCTGCAATCTCCCGCGGTTGGCCCCAGCGTTGCAGAGGCGTCATAACCTTAACCGCGTGATCGTCCAGTTCAGCTTTCGCGCCACTCGTCATTGATGTCTCCACGATCCCCGGCAGTACGGCGTTGACTCGAATCCTGGATAAAGCGTAGTCAACTGCGTCCGAGCGCGTGAGGGCCGCTACGCCCGCCTTGGATGCGCAATAAGCTGGGCATCCGGGCAGAGCCACGTACGCCAACCCCGAGGCAATGTTCACAATGGCACCTCGCTGAGCCCGAGAAGCGTCGATGCCTGGGTACACATGGGAGTCGAGGGATTGCGATTTCATGATCCGGAGCTCTTGGCGTGCACAGAGGAAAAGCCCACGGAGGTTGACAGCAATAACACGATCGAATGCTGATACGAGAGCCACGTCGGAAGGTCCTGTGTTGCCAGGTACACCGGCACAATTGATGGCGTAGTCGAGACGGTTGAATGCGTCATGGATGGCGTCAAACGCTCTCACGACCTCTGCCTCGTGGGCCGCGTCGCATTGGAGCTCGAGAACTCGCATGTCTTGGTTCAGAGCCCTTATTGACGAGGCAACCTCGGTCAAACCGGCGGCATTGACGTCGATCAATGCGATCGCAGAGCAACCCGCACGTGCCAGCGCGTGGGCCACAGCACGTCCAATTCCTGTGTTGGCAGGCGGATTCAGTGTCCAAAATCCATTTCCATGTTCGACAGCCACATGCGGGGTCCAACAACTCTTCAAGGCCCTGAAGGAACTGGAACTTGGAACTTACCCGAGGCTGCCCCCGTCACTACGGCCACACCTGGTAATTCCTTGACCATGGACACATTGGCGTTGCTGTTGCTGTGGCTGTTCATTCTGATGGGAATGCGACTGCTAGAGTTCTGATAATGGTCGAAGACGACGATACCGACGACGACGATGACGAGCTCTGAACGTTTGTTGCCAAACACTAATCCTGACCGCGGAGGCACTCCGGACTCCGGACTCCGGACCCTCCGACGCGAAGAAAGTGGAGAATTAGAAAGACTCTGGGGGTGATTGACGGGTTTCCCCGACAATCAAGATGCCACCCGTGCGGGTCTCGTTGTTTTAACCAAGCAGTGATGCGTCAGCCTTACTCCAGAATCTCCTAGTCACGAGGTGCTACGATTGTGTGCGAAATCTCCAAAGAAAAGAACCAGGACAAAGGGAACGGTTCACTCCCGTCGCTGCATTTCGACAACTGAAAGTCACCTCACTACCAAAAATTGCCCGACTCACTCCCGTTGACACATAAGCCACCAAGTCCGGGGAATTGGAAAGCCCATTCCGTGTTCTCCCAGTTCATAATCGTCGACGAATCCTGCGAGGGTGCCTTACGTTATTAATGCGGCGCAATGGATAGCATCAAGCCACTGGGCAACTTACCTCGAAGAAAGAGGAGGGCTGCTGGGGGAATATTTCCTGAAGCTGGTCATCCCCGTTCGCATGGAGGCCTGGGAGGCTATCAGACTGCGACTCTCTTGCTGCCACGAGTGCTGTTCGAGCTATGTTGGTGAGTTCTCTGGCAAACGAAAACTTGAGATCGCCGTTGGTAACGTATCCAATGAGACTAATGGATCCAGCCACCACTTCCATCAAGTCGAGATCCGACTCGGCCAGTGTGCTCCGCGGGTTCTGCAGAATCTGAAGGAAAAGATTGATATGGCTAACGATTGGATAGTAAAAGACTTGCCTTGGATGTGGGTGTTAGTCTGTTTCCCAGCGCGGCACAATGCTTCTTACCACACATGCGAGGCGGCGGTGACCTCCATCAGCTGTGTTGCGCTTGCAATGGCCCTCGAGGCGTTCATGACTATCTGAGAGCTTTTCTCGATCTGCGTAGCCATCATGAGCTGTTGGGCAGAGTCTAACGCTGGTTGTACCCAAGGGTATGTGATGATATTGTGGATCGCACAAAGTGTCCCATGGAAGGCATAATAGATGTATGTCCATTGTCTCTGATCCATCTGAGAATTTTTCCGAAAAAACTTGGAGGTAGGCCGACTCCTGTAGATTTCAGGCAGCTGATTCCACCACTGTCGAATCTGTTTGTCTAGTTCACCAGTCGTTTTGCACAACTCTGTGATAGACGCTGCCAGTGCTCGGGTCGAGTAGAGCCGTTTAGACACAAGGGAGGCAATACGTGCATGTTGAATGGCGCTCCTGAAAAAGTCCATCCTCGCCGCTGTCTGACGGCGTGGAGCCACCGGCAATGCCAGATCGAAGTCGTCGTCGTGGATGCACTACGTCTGTATCAGCTGGGTTCCTGTTGCGCCGGGGGATGTTGACATACAGAGGGTCGACACGCGCGGCTGGCGAGCAACTTATCAAAGAGATAGAGGCACCACCAGAGCCAGCAGTAATCCTCTCTCTCGTCCTCAGAAGTCGCTTTGCGTGCAACGATTGGAAGATGAAAGCCTTTGGACTGAGCCAGACGGATTGCACTTGAAAGCAAGAAGAATTCCACTGCAGGACTGGAGATGGCCTCACAGTAGAAAGCCTGGTTGCGTCAACCACGATACAGAGTCACTGGACCAAGCTGAGAGGCGAGCTTACCATCAGGAGCAACGCTTCGACTGCGGTCGAGTTTGTACGCATGTAGAGAAGCTCTGTGTGGACGGATAATGCGTTCTCGAAATACGCCCATGAAGTATCTCGTGCCACCACGTATGACGATGGATGGGAGTCTGTGGCGAGAGAGAGCCGACTGCCAATGGCGTATACGGCGTTTCTCAAGGCATACCATCCAGGATCCGACAATGCGGTGGACTGGTGACTTTGGCGCTTGGTTTCGAATTTTTGCCGTTGTACCAGCCCCAGTTTATGCTCGAACGAGTCTTCGAAGAACGCTTGAAATCCCTCAACACCGCAGAACACAGGATGATATGTGATGTAGCAAGGGAACTGACCTGTCGTCCATCTCTCTGCAGCTGCGTTGTCCGGCTCTGGAACTCTTTTTGACGATTGGGGTAGCGATAGTTTGAGTGTGCGACTGACTTCAGTGGCAAACTTATGAGCGCTGGAGACGAATTCGCCGCTTCCAGTGCGTCTGGAGATCCACTCGACACCCTTACTCGAGCAAATGGACAGATAGGAAGCATTGCCTGATACGCATACCGTTAGAATGGTGATGCATAGTTTGGTAGGAGGTATGTAAGACCATGATGCTCTGAATTAGCCTGCGATTGATTAGTTTCAATGATGAGCGAGCGTATCCTGCGAAGTGGTAAGAGACCCGTACACTCACCTCTTCTAGTCCTCGGGTACCATGATCTTCTAAAGAAGCACCTAGAGCAGGACTCGTCACAGCATCTAGCTCCGCTTGGCCAACCCGGCCTGAGTCATTCCACAGTGTTGCGCAGTCGGACACCGTCGTGAGATCGTTTAGTGGAAGTAGTTGTCTCTGGTTTAAAGAAGAGCCTTGACCCTCACGAACCTGGAAGACTTGATCTGTGTCAGTCGTTAACGATTGTGGTACGGTGCGACTCTCGTCCGGAAGACTGTTGTAGCTTGAACGGAGCAACGGGACCAGGTAGGCATCATCTGGAGGAGCTGCTGGTGCCGTAGCGGTGACTGAGGGAGGCGCGGGAGGCGCTGGAGGCACCGAGGCAGCAGATTGACCTTGCACGAGGAACTCCAACCGCATCAGCCGCTCTTCGACATCTGTTGGTTTTCTCCTACCATGGTCCTGTCGATGATTGTCGGAAACTGGATAGACACATTCCCAATCGTGGCGCTACCACGGTCATCAGTATTTCCGTACTTTTAAATGCCATCTCGAGGGAGTCGGAACTTGCTGACCGTGCAGTTAGAACAAGGATGATGGCCGGTGCCTCGATCAAGTCAGCATCTCGCACGCTACAGGTGGGTGGCACAAATTCCTCACACCGCGCCTTTTTCTGGCGACATTTGTTGCACGCAGTGGGGCATTGTGGCAGACCGCGTTTCCCTCCCATGACCGCGCGACATCAAGGTGTAGACTTAGAAAATGATGCTGTCAATGAGTCGTAGTGCTGTGTACGTTTAGACAAATGACACTTCCTGGAATGATCTTACGGGAGTCGTCGGGTGAAGCAGATCAAATCATTCGGCTACAGTAAGAAAATGTGCCTCAAACCCCCACAGCCAAGCCGCAACCAGGGTGAGTGCGGGGTAGGGGATTGGGGACTCCGGACTTTGGACTCCGGACTCCGAGGACAACTCCCCTTCCATTCAACTGTTGGAGACGGAACAATATGATACACCAAAAGTTGACAACAGATAACTTCCTTGCTTTACCTAGGTCGCCAACACTAGTGTCCTGGCGGCGACCGTGGCCCCATTTCGACTCGCCGCTTCAGGATCTTATCATCTTCCCCCGCAGCCAGCCTGGTGATAAATTCCTCAGGGTCAAAGTCCGTTCCTATGGGATTCTCAGCGAAATACGACGAGGCCATAAAGGCATTCGCTTCTTCGTTTGTGTCGAAATTGTCAACTTGGGTCTCGATCTGATTCCCGTCCGGATCGGTGTAGTAAATGGAGGTGGTCGGGCCGTGATTGACACACCAACTCGGCTCAATGCCGAGGCTCTTGCGCTGTTGATATGACTGCATAAGGTCGTCCAGAGTCTCAAAGGTGAAGGCAGTGTGGTGTAACCCACTGGAATCGTGAACCTTTGGCTTTGTGTTGGGAAGGCCGATGATGGCAATGCGGTGATGCTCGTCATCGTAGCGGAGGAAGCAAAGGACATCATTTTCGTAGCTGACATCGGCGCCGAGGAACGTCTTGTAGTATTCTCTCATCTTCTGATAGTTGTTCGTCCGGAAAACAACATGTGCGAGTTTAGAGGGACTCTTGACTTGGTGAGAACCCATTTTTGCTGGAGAAGTCGCCAGGTAATTGATATTCTCAGATTCTGGTGATAGAGGCGGCTTCAAGACCTTTCACCGTAGCAATTGGCGTAGATCCGGAGTAATACTCTTGTATAACTTGTGGAGGCTGTGACTACGAGTCTGAGTGAGGCGGGCGCAGTCCTATATCTCTGCCTGTTCAGGCCTCACATCTTTGCCGCCCTGGGATCCGTTTAGAAGCTGGGGATCCCATGAGGCGGTACTGATGCCTCGTCGATACCGGTGCCCGGAGTAGGACATGGGCCTTGCAGCCTAACCTGTCCGGTCGGATGGTCTACGCTGAGTGCCCGACGAGACCTTGGCAGTTCCAATGACTGCACCGAGGCAATCCGAATCACACGTCCCAAAGCCATCATTTGACATTCTGACGGTTGTCGGAGAGCACCCCAGAGCCCGGATCGGAACAAAACAACATGCATGTCAGTCTACGCTCGAGGTGCGCAGCCCTCGGGTCTGATAGATTAGATTCCCTCGTGCTTGTTATTTCCGTCAATACGACTGTTACCAGTGCTACTGGAGATCAGTTCCTCATAATGCGTCCCAAGTCTCAGCAGGCAATGACCTAGGAGGTTACGGCAGCAATTCGGTCTGAATCTTGTCTAGAGACTGGCGCGATGTCTTCAATTCTAAGGCTCAACATGGAGAATGTCGAATCGAGACTGGATCCTGGATCCATTGTCTTAGTCACAGGCGCCAACGGATATATAGGATCGACCATTGCCGACCTTCTCTTGCAAGAGGGGTACTATGTCCGTGGGACCGTCCGTGGCCACAAACCCTGGCTACAGCGATACTTTGATGAGAAATATGGGAAAATGAGGTTTGAGGCGGTGGTTGTACCAGACCTGGGCGTCCAGGAAGATCTCGTGTCGGCTCTCGAAGGTGCACAGGGGTTGATACATGTGGTCTGTGGTGCTCCTCAATCAAATGCTGAAAAGGCACTGCTGACATTATTCCCTCGTCACACAGGCAGCAGATGTTGCATTTCAACCAGACGCCGAAAAAATCATCTCTCAAACCAAAATGCACACAGTGGCAGCTCTCCAGGCTGCCGCAAGAGTGTCGACCATGAGGAGCTTTGTCCTCACATCCTCTGCATCGGCTGCTTGCTCCCCAAGCATCAATGAACAAGGCATAGCCATCAATGACGGTCAGCACACGTGAAGCCGCTACCTGTTCATTACCTACTGACAGATTCAACAGACACCTGGAACGATAGGGCAGTGGCTGCGGCTTGGTGCAAAACCACTTCGCCAGAAGAACTGCCATATAATGTCTACGCGGCTGCGAAAACTGAGGGTGAACAAGTTCTGTGGAAGTTTGCCAGAGAGAATAACCCGACTTTTACGGTCAACACAGTCTTACCGTCTGCATGTGTCAGTCTTCCCCCTTTTCGCAACAATGCGTCACTTTCTGCTCTGCTCAATCCTCTGACTGGGTGTAGTTTGGGTCCATCCTCTGTCGAGAGATCGGAGGCAGCACCATGGGTGTAGTCCGTCGAGTGTTGTCGGGAGATTCTGAGATGTTTTCTCTACTTCCACCGCGTATGTGTCTCAGACCGCGGATTAACCCTTGAATGAATACTCTGACCAGTTTAGAGTGGTTTGTAGATGTTACAGACTGTGCACGACTTCACCTAGCCGCGCTGATTGTCAAGTCAATCGCAGACCAAAGGATCTTTGCCTTTGCCGAAACATTCAACTGGACCGACATTATCACCATCCTTCGCCACATCCGTCCCGGCAACAACGATATTCCCGAACCCCCAGCTCATGAAGGGCGAGATTTGTCCCATGTCACACCGCGGCTCAAGGCAGAGTGCATTCTGCGACAGTACTGGAATTCCGGAGGCTGGACTAGCCTGGGGGACAGCATTGCTGCAGGTATAGGGGATATCTCATGAATGCGGTTTGGATTGAATTGGCGAGCACACCGCGTCAGGCACGTTGAACAAAGTCCTGACTTGGTGTGACTTCAAGCAACAGTTTGCCTATGGCTGGCTGTTAGCAGCGTCAAGCGTTGTTTGGGGTGCTGTGAGCAGAGACTTGCCTGTGTTGGTACCTTCATATAGGCCCATCAGCGCCCGTTCCGCCGATGCCAGACCGCCTCTTACAATCGTCTCTTGGCTTTTGATGGCCTTCGTCTTGAGCCACTCGGCGAGCTGCGTGCGTGCTTCCTCGAAGCGGTCTTTGTAGTCCAGCACGATGAAACCCTCCATGCGGATCCTAAGCCGCACAATTTTGAGGTAGTTCTTGAGACCGTACGGTTCGGTGGAATTGTGTTGACTCACTCCGCCGCACATGACGAATCGCGCGTGTGGTTTGGCCCTGGTCAAGGCCAAATCCAAGATTTCGCCGCCCACATTGTCGTAGAAGACGTCGATGAGAGCCTCGGTCGCGTGGGCAAATTCCTGCGCGAAATCCGCCGCCTTATAGTTGAGAGCTTTGTCAAATCCAAGTTCCGAGACCAGCTGGGTGCATTTTTCTGCAGATCCAGCAATGCCCACAACCGTGGCACCTTTGAGCTTCGCAATCTGACCAGCGACCGAGCCAGTCGCTCCTCCCGCGCCTGTGACTACGACAAGATCTCCGGAACGAACACGCCCAATGTCAGTCATCCCAAAGTAAGCTGTCATGCCGGTGAAACCGAGGACCCCCATCCAATCCGTGAGGTTCACATCTGACGAGACGGGGACGGGCTGCAGGACACTTTCATGAAGTCTCACGACCTCGCTCCATCCTGTATTCGCCAGCACATAGTCGCCCGGAGAGAAGACTTCGGACTTTGATGCCTCGACCACCGCTAGTCCCTGGCCGCGCATCATCTCTCCGAGCTCCACCGGGGCCACGTAAGATCGATCGTCGTCCAACCATCCTCGCATGGCTGGATCAATACTGAGGTAAAGAGTCCGTAGGATGACTTCGCCATTCTGAAGCACATCGATATCTGGGCTCTCATGAATAGAGATCGAAAATGTCACGCTTGGCACAATGTGGCCATGTGGGCGCTTGGAAAGATGGACAGCGCGGTGAATTGGCATGGCGCTTGACCGAATGGAATTCAATCGTCGATGATGGTTGTCATGGATCCGTGAAGCACATGGTACTGCAGACAACAGGTGGCCAATAAGTAGATTTTCTCCCGGCCATTGATCCCGAGCCGGTCTAGGAACTCCGGCCGGACCAGGGCTACTCAGTCCGCAGCTGCGACGCGAGTCATCTAGCATTCCGACACAACAGATCGGCCATCTGACCTTCACGGCCTCATGAGACATGTAATCCATTCACACCCCTGCAGCAGAGATACTCGTAGAAGTGCTAACGTGCATTGCATTCTTCGAATGTGAAATTCTACATAGTTGGCACTCGCTACAGCTTAGGCGACGTCGGCAAGCGTCGTGGTAGTAAACAAAGGGCACGACAAAATGGACTTCGTGGCTATGGCCAAGCGTTGTGCGACCATTCGCTGGATCAAGAACGTCCTATTGCGTGGAGTGGGGCTCTCAATAGACGATGTCATCATTCTCGATGTATGCCTTCTTCTTGATGACGAATGGCTCACACGTACCGAAGGGCGGAATCCTAAGGAGGCTGATTAGGCTGTGGAAGAGGTATTTGCTTTACTCGAGGAATTACTAGAAGTTATAAACCCTTCGATAGTGATTTATTGTTAGTACGCGACGGGCGGTAGGAATTGGATAAGAAACCCCTGTGGGCGTCGGTTAGTTCGGGCGTTCCATCCGATGTTCTTTGCTCGTGAACAGGACGTAAAGGAACGGAGTCGGCGTGAGTAGCTTTTTGTGAGGGTTTAGCTAGGAATTTAGAGTAATTCGTCTAACTACCGTATAACGAGGATTCTTAAGCTAAGGAGAGAAAAGAAAAGAGAAAATCTATCTACTGTACGAATAAAGGAAATACTCCCTAGCCTCTCCTATAGTAGGTTAGTATAGTTTCCTAGGAGATAATCGATAGAGAGGAATTACGTAGCTTCGGCTATATAGTTATATAGCCTAAAGGTATACTACGAGTAATCGCTCTAGGACGTACTCTAGAGCTTTATACGGGTTTAACTCGTAATATTACTCTCCTCCTCTCCCCGTACGACGCTAAGAAGCCGCTACTCCTAATAGAGACTAGCCGGGCGCCGAGTAGCGTATAAAGTAAAACTCTTATTCCTACTTACTTTTATCCTACTTTTTCTTCTCTTATACTAATTATCGAGAAAGTTTTTATAAGTACTTATCTCTACTCCTATTACGTACGATTATTAGCCGTTACTAACTCTTAAACGCTCGTAGTCGATATAGTAAATAAGTAAGCGAACTAATCTATTCCCTCCTCTTTAATCCGCCCTTTATACTCTAAGCCCTAGGCCTTTCCGTTTAGTCGTACGTACTAATAGGAGAACGGAAAAGTTAAGATAATATAGTATTAGTAGTGTAGGATGCCGCTACGACTTAGCGTTAGTTAGAGTAGCTCGCGCTAACTTAAATCCCTATTTTCCTTACCTCCGGGTAGTCGCTAGTATCGTACTACTATAATGTCTCTCAACGGACGGTCTTAGCTATACTAGGAACTAACGTACCTTTCGTACGAGGAGTAGTTACTCTAGTATAGGTCCGGTCGCACCGGCTATCGTACATTAACGCCTTACTTATTTAGAGCCGAAGTATCCTTTTCGGTCCTTATAACCGTTATAAGCGCTTAATACGCCTATTTCTAGAGTATCGACGTATCCTAGAATACTTCGGTAGTGCGTACGGTAACTATAAGTAGTCGGACCGCGGTGCTCGTTATTCGAAGCGCGATAAAGACGACGATAGTAGTATTGTAGTACTGTCGTCGGATTCGTCCGATGACGACGGCGCTCCCCCCCCTACCCGTAAGGCTCTCCTTCCCTCCCCTCCTCCTTCTCGCTTCGGCGAGGTAGTTATAAAAAGGCCCGCCCCTTAGCGGTAGGTACGTACGATATTTCTTTATTCTCTTATCCTCGTATAGTACTTATATTAGTACTAGTATAATCCTAGTGGATAAGGGATGTTCTCTATACCTAACTATAGCTTATACCTTAACGTAGCGGTTAGGCTTCGCCGTACGGCGACTAAATAAGCTAAATATATATAGTATAATTAGATATTTTATTACTCTTATAGTTCTTTCGTACGTACTCTCTCTTTACTCCCGTATAGTAATTAGAGAGCCGATTATCTCGCTATCGATTCGTACGCATCTAAAGCTACGATATCCTAGAGCGATAATTTCGGTTCCTAGGTTAGTTCTATATATCCCGTCTATTTTATTAAGTACTACTTTTAAGACCCTCGGCCTCTTCGTACGAATTTATAGCGGATAATCCTTTTAATCTAGTATTCTTCTTCGTCCTATATAACGATAGAATTCGGCTAAGTATCGTCGGTAACTTACGAAGGTAATAGATTCGTAGATACCGTACGTAGTAGGTTCGAATAGAATACGTTATAAATTCCTTTTAGCGTATT